TTTCTCACACTATTTCACTTCTTACACCAAGTCTTTTTCATACTTTTACCCTGAAAAGACATGTGTTTAGATGTATTTACCTCCCCTAGGGGTAGTTGCCAACTGCCAATAATAAATTGATTGTGATACAAATCACTTCATTCATAGCTGAGGGAATATAGCCGTAACTGCACTGAAAACATGTTGCAGGAAAGGAGAAGCTGCCTGGCAACTCAAGGAGATACTCCCCAACAACTCCACTGAGATTCAGAAGATCACAAAAAGATGGAAGTACGAAGACACCCAAAGACAAATAAGGCTGACTACATTGGCTAGGGACGATCACAATGATCCAGCTTTAGACAGGGCAAGCTCGAGAATCACCACCACAAGGAAGAGCAAGAATGGACGAGCTTCAGTTCCCTCCTTTGATGTCCTTGTGCATAATTCTTTCAGCGAATTTCCTATTCAATCTCTCGTTCTTCATCATCGTGCCCACTGCCACATCATGTAAGTGATTTTTGACGGCAGAACTTCTTTAAAATACAATGTTTGTCTATCAGACACTAAGCATTTGGGCGGAGAGTCCCTTTTCAGCGGATTGACGGTGGGAGTGGTGACTCTCATCTCCTTAATGGGTTATGGCTCGTCTGCTAACTTGATCTAACTGTTGGCAGTCGTTGGATCGAGTCAGGCTCTCTGCGAGAATGTGGCTGATAACTGCCAGGTTCTCCAGGTGAATCACTCCTTGATAACGTGTTATCTATAACTAAGTTTTGCTGAAAGATTGGTTTCAAATATTAAGTTTAGTATTTTTGAGTTTGGTTATTTTGGTTGCTAGAGAGTGTTGAGTGGTGATTCACTCTTATTTTCTTTTATCTTTATTCTAGTGTTGATAGCATTGAAATAATGCCTTGATATTGATATGATTGAAGTTGAGATTGAATGAGATGAAAAATATTATTTTATTCCACTTATCTCAATAAAGATAGTGTTGATAGTTGACTGTATTTTTATGCTATTGAAATTTGTGCAATTTGCTAGTTAGTAATTATATTAGCATTTAAATGAGCTAAGTGGTAAATTGAGTTAGTTATATTCTAGATGAAATTATTTAGTAAGGGTTGAGTTTTGGCTTTTCCTTGAAAAGTGATTTAGTCATATACTATATTAGCCTTATAAAAGGAAGAGTTAGTGATTGATATTAAAATTGTTTGTTCTTTACTATATTTGAGTTAAGGATATATTGATTATTGATAATTCTTCTTGTGCTTGTTATAAAGTGAGTTACGTTTTACTATAAAAGATGGATTCATAAATGATTGTTTTGTGATTACTTATTGAACATAGTTTTATTGTACTTGGTTTTTGGACTGATGCAAATATACTGTTTATTAACTTTTGCATTATAAAGTTTAACTTATAAATGTGTTGAAAAAGAAATTGTGGGTTATACAACAATTTCTTCTTTGGCTTTGACATTAGTTCATGCAAAATTTATGATCATTATTAAATGAGATTTGATTATAGGCTTCTTTGAGCTTTTGATTCTTTAAGTTTTATACTTATTATTCTATTTGTTAGAAATTTTTAGGGAAGGTATTTTGACTCATTAGCTTCAATATTAAACTTAACTTTTACATAGTAATGATTGACTATCATCTAGAATAATTGATTATCCTTGTCAAAGGTTTTGCTAAATTATTATTAGTGTTGCCATTCTTTAGAATAGTACATTATTTTTTTGACAATAATTATGTATCTCTTTATTGATGTGATAATTAATGTTCTTTAATGATGGTTAATTATTCTCTTTGATGGTTTTTGGCTTTTGGCATTATTATTGGTTTGCTTTAGATTGGTTTCTTGGGTTTGAGATATCGGTAGGATGTTACAAATGCTTATTTAAACAACTTAAGTTTTTTAGTATTATTGACTAGAATCTATTCAGATTAGCTTATGCAATAATTAGTATAAACAAATGCTTGTTGGTTTTGCTGCATTCATTATGTTCTATTAGTTGTTATTATAGTTGGTTTGGATAGATTAGATGTTATTTCCTTTGGGTGATATATTTGCAAATATTTTACTTCCTCGTTGATGATACTTTGTATTCTTTGAGCTATCTTTCATAACTTATTTAGCATGCTATCGTAACGCACTCTACCTTTCTCCCCTTAAACCAAATGGAAAAAGGGCCATTATTTGATAAGAGAGCTTTTAATGACTATTTTATCCCTAGTGACAGTACATCCAAATTTCATATGCTACACTCACCCCCTTTTTAGAGATATCAATATCTTCATTGACTATTGACTAACAACTTTTATTGAGCCAAGGGAAATTAACACCTCCATTTCCAACTAAATTTACTAATCCTTTCATTATATAAATCAGTTATTCCAACTAGTCATCCACCTTTATGGCATTCCCATAGTGGATACTTTTGTCTATGGATGCCCTACGAGATAAAGGACATAATCATGGATGCCCAATACATAAATTTTAAGGGTAAGAATATACCTTACTTCATGGTATATTATATTTTAAATAACCACTAATAAATGGGAATTGATCTTGTGCTATTTGCTCTAATACCACATGTAGCACACTCTATTTCTTTCCTCTTAAACCAACTAAAAAAAGGGTAATTGTTTGATAAAAGCTTTTATTAGTAGTTATTTTATCTCTATTTATCCCCCAAGGTCCCAAGGATCTATAGTGATAGTATATCTAAATCTCATTCCATGATTATATCCACTATAACTATTTACAATTTTTAGTAGTTAAGATTTATCATTGAGTTTTCTTGATGATATACTTGCCATTGAGATAGTTAATCCTATGACTTTCACCTATATGATCTCAATAGTTGGTGGCTCCTATACTTTAATTTTGGTTTATTAGATGATAGCTTACTTGGAATACTTTTATGTTCTAACCTAAGATTTATTCACTGATAATCTTATCACCTCATAAGATAAGATTATCTTATCTCATGTGATAAGTGTGAACCTAATAACATAGAAACATTTGAGAATAAATATTATAGATTACTTCAAATACTAACAATCACTTAACGCAAAATCTTCCAGAATATCCTTAAAGGCACTCTCCTTCTTGAGTGTAAAAACAGTTTAACCTTATATACAATTAAAGGGAATGACTTAAGAAACAATCTATGTAATTTAAATACAAAGAGAAAGGGTCCATGAATAAAAATGCACCTTCTTTTCTAATCAGTTAAGGATATTAGGATATTTGGGGTTAAACATCCTTGGGTTTAAATAAAATTGAGTTAAGCAACTAAATTTTCCATCCTACTTTAGTCACTTAACCACACCTTTGACCACTTAGAGGAGTCTCATTCACAACCTCCTTAAGTCCAATTTAGGACTTGGGACTTACTAGCCCTGAGGATGGCATCCATGCCACTCATCCCTTGCACTTAGTCCAAGTGCTCCACGTGTCCAGTCCTAAGACCGACATCCAAAGGTACCATTGACATATCAGCCCATTACGCTGGCATTATAAACATTGGCGGCTGTTCAACTTTTGCACTAACTTTGACAACACTTTCTTCTCTAGCTTATGAGCAGTGTCATCACTTTTATATAGCCCTAGTGTTATGTTAGGATCACAACTTTACATAGAGACAACACAATAAACAAACATATCAAGGTTTGCTTTTGATTTTCAAAATAATTGGGTGCTTCATTTTGCAAATCACTAGAGCTCTTATACTTTCTACTTGTGGATGACCTACACCACCACATAATGCCTCTTTGCTAGTCGTTTTCATACTTTCAGCCAAGTAGTCAACTTCATATGCATGTGGTGCTTATTATGTGTGGCGATTTTGCAGCCACATTGCATGGAGAACCTGGCATCTTAGGCCTCCTCCAGAACTCCTTGAAACCTCCTGAACTTGCTCCAGCAAAGACGGAGTGGTCCTAGCTTGCACTTGATAGCATGGCATTTGAAACACCAGCGGATGTGCAATTTTTGCACAAATTTTGAGAACACCTCTTCTCCAACTTGTGAGTGGTGTCAATAGTCTTCACCCTAGTATTGTGCTAGGATCACACATTTATATGGAGATAACACAATAACAAAACTTGTTTAACTAGAGCTCCCATACTTCCTACACAAGGATGACTTCCATCACAACATGATGCCTCCTTGCTGATACTTTTCATGCTTTAAGCTAGTTAATTGACTTCACATGCATGTGATGCTTGTTTTGTGTGGCGATTGCACATTGAGATGTTCTTGAAAAGTTGCATTTCTTAATTTCTTTTGACATTTTTTTCTTTCCAGCTTTCATGTCATGCTTAGACCTCAAGGGTCACTGCTACTAATATATTGGGCCAAGGAAGAGGAATAGGGATAGAATTGCCAATGCACAGAGGCTTTGGTGAAGGGATTAGTGAAAAATTTCCAAGGGATTAGAAAGGAAATCTAGTGAAGATGATTAAAGTAGACTGTGCACTATCATTAGATAAGTGCTCAAGAAAACTCACTCTTAGAAACTACACCAAACATAGTCTAGAATGAGATTTAATCATGCTAGCCTGCCATTGAAGAGAGATACTAATGAAGTAGAGGTAAGGTTATAGAGAATTCTTATCAAAAGAAGACTAATAAAGAGTAACAATACACAATCAATGTCAAAAATATTAGCAATGGAGAATTGGATGACTACAATACTAGTATACCGGATTCCTATCCTATGTTGCCTCCTGCTAAAAAGGAGTGCTTATCCTCGACTCATCTAGGCTAGTGGTTACACCCTAGTTATGAGGAACTTGCCAAAATGCTCATAGCAATGATTAAGTGAAGGGTAAGGCATGATTGATTGGGCATTTGTTTATTTTCTTTTGCATAAGCTTTGGAGTTTCAGCCTTGGTCTCCATGGATGCAAGATTTGTATCTTGCCATGCCAAAACTTGCATCAATGCATATGACTTTGATGATCCTTGGCTAAAGTATAAGAAGGCACCATAAAGAGTGCACATTGGAGATCCTAGGTTTATACATCTAGAACAAATATGGCTAGATGGAGGTCATCAAATGTGCAAGAGATGCATATGAGTATATTTTATAGTATATCTAGAGTATATTTTAAAGTTTGTGATAGTGGAAACATAATGGAGTGAGAGCACTTAGAGAAAGTTCATAGTAATACTTGTGTCTATTTTGCACCTCACTATTGAAAAATCCAATAGTAACTCAATTTAGCTATTGCTACCTTGGCACCATGAAGATGAGGAGTAAAAAACCTTCTCTTTGTAAATCTAAACATGTATGATAGAGGAGGAAGAATGGATTAAACCCTAAATGCAAAACCCCTAAACTTGTTTTTGAGGGAGGTTTCTCAAACATGCTTGATATTTTCTAACAAGTAAGTCTTTCCCACCATGAAATAAAAAGCCAAATTTTCCATTCATGAAGCATATGTTCCAATCGGGAAGTATAAAGCAAATATTTCTGATTGAAAAGATTTGGCTTTTTCTACTGGTAGAAGCTGTTTTCTACTCCCTATTTTCTATTTTAATTTTTTAAGTATTTTATTTTATTTTATTTTATTTGGGAGCCATATGTTTCTGTCAAGAAGTACAAAGTAATATTTCCCATTGAAAAAATTTGGCTTTTCTACTGGCAGAAGCTGTTTTTTACTTCCCATCTTCTATTTTATTTTTTGAAGTATTTTTTTTTTGGGAGGCATATCCTGTCGAGAAGTATAAAGTAAATATTTCCCATTGAAAAAACATTTTTCCTATTGAGAGTTTTAATATTCATCTCCCTTTGGGTAATTTATCTATTGGAAAAATATCAAGTATTCACATGATCCTATTGGGAGATCTCCATATCCATCGGGTATTTGTATGTGGGATGGCCATCTAATATATAGTTAAGCATAATAAATGTTGATTATTTCTTCCCTAATGATTAGCTACAAAGAAATTGGATAAAAAAGCCAATTACTTCTGGTAAATGTGGTAGTTGTTGGGAAGATCCAAATAAAACTGACAATGATATGGCAAGCTATATATAATATTAAGAATGAATAGCTATGCTGTGAGGAGTAGCTTTTGCACTCTAAGATTGCTTATATATTTTGACTTCTCTATGATCAAATTTTTCTTAACTGGTTTTTTTCTTTCTCCTTCCCCACAATGCAACAATAGCAATCCACCTCTCGCATGGAAGCTAGGAACTTGGTGGCATTGCTTTAAAATATGGGATTGCCTTCCAATTTTTCTTGTGAGATAGCATCATAAAGTTTGAGCATTTTCAACCACATGGCCGTTCCATTGTCTCAACAACAGACCCAAGAATACCAGCATAGTCTGAGCGCTTCACCATTCCTGCCACTCTGTATTCGCCAGGATTTCTGGTGTTTGCAACATCCAAAGCCAGCTTCTCGTGCTTCCAGAAACTTCTCACGCGTGAAAATGCGATAAGAGCTCCTTGCGATCAATCCCATGGCCACGCATGGGCATCAAACGGCTTTGTCACGGCCCATGAGTCCTATCTGATCGAAATTACCATATTTCATAGTAGTGAACAACGATGTGTGCTCTGTGTGTGTGTGTGCCTTCTTCTATGGCAAAATGTTTAAACTTTTTGCTTATTTCCTATGCTTGTGCTGGCTCAACCAGCAATACCTCACAAGGTTGACAAGCGTGAGGATGACAACAATCCCCACAAAAGACGCAAGGAGCACCCTGGACAGAGTCTTCATATTCCTGCCGCGAAGGTTGTAGTTGCACGAGAGGACAAAGAGCGCACATCCATGGCCGTCCACCCTGAAAGATATGGAGTGCGTCTCTTCCACCCTCTTGCCACTCCATACTTCCTCGCCCAGGCACCGCCATCTCGTTTTGTTGTGCGCGTTGAAGATCACCGAGCTGCTGTTCGCTACCGCCAGGGACGTGTAGAACTCGTCCAGGAGCTCCTCGAGCGTGATGGACATTTGGGTCTTCTTCGGGCTAGCATTGAAGAAGGCAACATAGACCTCTCCTGGAAGTCGAAAGTTTCTTGTTTGGTAGAAACCGAAAAAAAAACGAGTAGTAAGTACCTGAGTGCCCATAGGAAACCCATATCCGTGTCAAATCGTCCTCGCTCACACTGATCGCGCATCTTCCCAGGTGATCGTTCACAAGATCGCCGGATGGTGTGAGCTTCCATGTCTGTACAGCTTTGAGTTATGAAAATTTGGTTTTGGGACTGCTTACACGCTCGTTACCTGGCTAGGATGGTCGCGACAAGGTGAAAAGTGCTCGCTTCGATTTTTCCCATGACTCGCCTTGGCATCAAGGCATGTCTTGTTGGTGTCAAAAACTCGACCAAGGTTATGGCCGGTGTTCGTCCTGACTTCAACAAGCGTAAGGTTGATTGCCACAGTATGATTTGAGAGACTTTACCTGTTGGCGTGTGGTATCCACTTGTAGCAGCCTTCAGAGTTGTTCTTTCGTCTCCAGCATATTTGAGAACTATTGTGTGAGGTGTTCCATCTGGTATGATTCGAGCCACCACATTCAGCTACTTTAATTGTGTCAGTTGCAAATCGCAATATCTGGCAAATGAGAAAGCGTTGGTCAGAAGCTTTTGCGAACCAAAATCGTACCTCTGTATTTCCAAAGCTATTCGAGTTAATTTCAAGAACAGTGGGATTCGTAAGAACATCAAGTGTTGTTTGGTCTAGGTGCCGCATATCTCCACCAAACATCAACGGAGATCTTGCCATGCCCCACAGCGTCATCTACAACATGACAAAACAATACTCTTATAAGCAATACGTAAAAGTAGTCAAAGGTATCACCTGTGTTTTCATTTCCGAATCGGTAAGTCTTGATGACCGATAAGGTCCATTATCTGTGTCTAAAGACTGTCGAGATTTAGAAAAAACAAAAGTAGAAACAAAGAAACGAACCTCCATCGGTGAGCCAGCCAAAAGGAAGAACATCCAGGTCTGGCCACGAACGACCACCACCGAGACCACTCGCTCCAACAAGGCCAGAAGCCGCAAAATCCCTGTTTTCAACTAGAAAAATTAGCGATACTCCTGAAGTTCCACAGCTCTACCTCGCGATGTTAAAGGCCGGTTCCAACTCCACCCATGTATCCCAAATATGTGCTGACACACGATACAAGTTGGTCATGTTGGCTATCGCAGCAGCCATGACAGGCGTTGCGTTTTCGCCGGGTGCAATTGAGTAAACAATCTGACGACCGGTATGAAGGATAGCCTGCACCAATGCACCAAGACTCTTGCCTGTTATTTTTTTTCCACCAAAAGTATGCAACATCTACCTCAGATACAGCCACGAGCTCTTCCAAATGGAGGTCCCTTTCACCAAAAGCGCAGTCGTGCTTAACTGCCATGCATCGGTTAGTTCTTCCAAACCAGCTGAACAAGACGAACTTACAAGCCTTAGCTTTAGTTTGTGAATCAGTGTGAAGGGAAATCGTGTGTACTGAAATCGACGCCCCACTCAGCATACTGCCTGTATAGTGACTTGAGATAGAGTCGCCCACCATAGGAGCTTACGTTCACTCCCATGAAACTATCGGGCATGAACGAGCAATCCTGCCCCACGACCGCGATGTCGCGGGCTTTCCATTTGTATGGACTCCGACTGCCCTGTTTGGATGGATCTTAGAACAATCACTGAACTGGAAAGAAGCCATACCTGTGATCCATAGATTGGAGTGTTTAGCTCGACAGCCGCTTTGTGGATGCCACGGATGACCGAGATTCCTAACTTGAGGCCCAGCTGATGGACGCGATCGGCAACTTCTCGAAATCCCTGGCCATTTCTCGACGAAGGCCAGCGGTCTGGATCGGGCAAAGGCCGGCCATACGCGTCCAGTGTATCAGTGCCACTCGTGAAAGACGAGACACCGGGTTCCACCTTCCGGAACCAGAGATTATCCACGATAACGTACTGCCGAGCGCGACAATCTTAGCTCCAGCGACACAATCCATGGCGAAATCTTACCTCGTAGCCGAAATTCCTGAGATATTTCGACACAAGCTCTGCATTCTCCAAGAAATCTTCCTCGGAGACGGACCAGGAGTAAGAATCGAAGGAATTCCAGCCCCGAGGAGGGGTGAGCGCTCGTCCATTGTCGCCAAAGACACTGCATTGGATCGCATTTTCTACCAGACATCCAAACAAGGAAGATCTTACTTGCTAACATCGGCTCTGATCAAGCAAGTCATCGCGAGAAAGAAAATCGCTGACGCGAGCTCCACCGCCATCGCCTTGGAACCCTAGCTTAGTCTACAGCCTATCAAACTGTAAAGAAAAACAAACCAATGGCGGGGAAGAGATCCTGGGCGCTCATCTAGAATAAAATTTCGAAATTTTGGGGGAGATTAGCTATTATACAAACGAGAAGAGCGAGCTCCCTCTTTTTTGTTTTGAATCTCTACTTAGACTTCTCGGGCTTGGGGCTCTTCTCGGCAGATCCAGCGCCGGAGGAAGATTTCTTGGGCAAGAGCACGCCGTGAATGTGTGGAATCACGCCTCCATGCGCGATCGTCACGCCTTGCAGGAGCTTCCCCAATTCGTCGTCGTTCCTCACGGCGAGCTGGATGTGTCTGGGGATTATCCTCGTCTTCTTGTTGTCCCTGGCGGCATTGCCAGCCAGCTCGAGAACCTAGCGAGGAGAAATATAGGTAAGAGTCGAGAACGAGAGAGAAGAGGAAACAAACCTCCGCAGCAAGATACTCGAGAACCGCGGCGAGATAGACTGGCGCTCCACTGCCGACGCGCTTGGCATACCTCCCATTCTTGAGGTAGCGCGCTAATCTCCCCACCGGGAACTGCAAGCCCGCCCTCGCGGACTTTGAGACGCTCTTCTTCTTGCCCTTGCGCCCTCCCGCCCCGGACATTTTCGATCGATTCCCGGGATGCCCTAGAGGCGCTAGAAAGCACTCCAGCTATTTAAACACCACCTCCCAAAACTTCAAATTTGAGCCAATCGGGTGTGAGGGCCCGGATCCCCATCGGACGGCCGAGAGCACGCGCCCATCCAACGGCCAGATTCCGCCGCCATAGAAACCATTTATTTTGTTTTTTAACAAAAAAGCGCGAATCAACCCTACACGAGGGGGGAATCTGTCAAGATCCTCCCAGGGACGACTCTTTCTCGAGGAAGGCGCACAGCTGCTCCATCACCTGGCGCCCTTTGGCGCTGTTTTGCTGGAATTTCTCGATGCAGCGCTGCTCGATCTTCTCCGCCAGCGACGCCAGCGCCGAGAGCGTGGAGCAGCGGATGTTCATCTCCTGGCGGAAGAGCGTCCAATCGGGGTTTTGGGGGTGGGGCGAGCACCAGCACTTCTCCTCCACCTCCACGAAATCCTTGAGCGTCACATTGCGCGTCACAATCTGCATTGTCTGCGCCGCCGCGTCCACGCTCGATCGCTCGATGCAGTGGCACACCCTATCGCCGATGATCCGCTGGAGCCACCAGGGGCACGGCGCGTTCACCGACACTAACCTAGTGCTCTCCAGCACGCCCGTGGCGCCGTCCACGCGACGCGCGATCGTGTCCACGCTCAGGACGTGGGAGAGCTGAGGCTTGTTGTCCAAATCCTGGTACTTGCGCCATGTCGCCGCCGTCACGCGATCCCACGGATGCTTGTACACATGCTCTTGCTTGTATCCGCGCACCATTCCCCTGCCCTAGCCAAAACCCTAGCCAAGATTCCAAACTTCTGGGAAGAATCTTGTGAATATTCACGTGAATTTTCAAAAGATTCCATCGTCATTCCGGGATCTTGAGCGAGTTGGCGAGTGAGCCCAGCATGCTTTCCAGGGCCTTGTAGTCTTCCGAGTCTTTGAAATCGTCGGCCTGGGCACGAACGCAAAAGAGAGTGAGCTTTTCGCCGGGAAACGAAGTAGTACCTGTTTGAGCGTGTTTGTGAGATGCCTTTGCGCGGCTGCTAGCTCCTTTTTACCACAGATCGCTATGTACTCCTGGCACAGTCCGAGTGAGGCGGCGGCGAAAGCTCGGAAGCGGGCTTCATCGTGTTGCCAGTTTGATCCCTGTTTAAGCAGTGTGGTTGTGAGGGCTGGACGATGGTTTGGAGATTTCTCTACCTGGTATGCTCGGACTTGTCTCAAGAAGGCGTTGGTTGATGCCTGTCGGTCGCCGAGAGCTTTGTGCCATCGTGCCTTTACGCCCCAGACATCTCCACCGTAATTGCCACTCGAGGCCATCTGTATGACAGAAAAGAACAAGAGTTAGCTCACAAGCATTTGTGGATCTACCTTTGATATCAGCTCTCCAAGCATCTCTATTAGCCGTTTTCTCTCGTGATCAGTCATGCCTTCGGCAGGAGTTTCACTTGTAAAGAGTTGTTTTTCTTCGAACACGTCAATGATTCTTGCTAGCAAGCCTGTGTCAACATTTCTGGGTGACAGCTCGAAAACCTGTCCTACTGCGGGTATTGCCTGAGAGATTGCATAGAATTAGTTAAGAAAAACGCAAGTGGTGAGGAATACCTGCGCAAAATTGCCGAGACTAACAAGGACGTGTGCGTAGTTATCCCACAGCTCCCAGGAGTTCCGCCTACATCAATCAAATTAGAAATACATGGACATAGCCAGGAAAAAGGACCCACTTGAACTGCACTGCTTGTTGGAATGCGGTGCTTGCTTCTTTCAGATTTTCCTTGCGCATGTTTCTGTAAGAACACAGGCGACTTTATATTAAAGAGAAAAAAGTTTTACTTACAATGCGGCAATGTTATTGAAAGCTTCTCCATGTTCCGGATCAAGCTGTATTGTCCGCACAAATGCATGTAAAGCCTGGTCATATTTTTTACACTGAAAAACCAGAACTCAGTTAAGAAAATACAGGTTCTAGACGGTTACCTTTAATGCACAAAACCCCGCAGAGAACCAGCCGTCGGAGTACAACGGGTTCAGTGAAAGTGCCAGACCCCTGTTAGTGACCTCGTTAACACTGTACTAGCATCACCAGAAGTGCATACCAGTGTTTTACCGCCTCCTCATACTCTTTCCTATTCATCGCAGAACGAGCGAGAAAACGCTGTACACCAAGCGCATTAAACAAAGAAAAGCAAAAAAAAAGAGTTTTTACCTGTGCAACTGCATATCTCTGCCCAGAAACTTCCCAAGACTTCAAAAAGCATGCGTCGTCATTAGTGGCGTCTCCTAGAGAACACCTGCACAAGTGATCTTAGGACTACAAGAAAAAGACAGCACAAATACTTACCACAGCCTTGGGTCATTCGGTGATATCTCAAGACGCTCCTTGATAAGATTTACTCCTCTTGCTTTGTCTCCGAGCAAACTGAAACGATCCTGTAAAGTTGCATTCCACTGACACGAAGAACGAACCGGTAGCAGTCAATAACGCTCTGCCATAACTCGAGTTTCTCAAAAAGGTTGAGAGCCTCTCCGATATTACCAATGCTAACCAACGTGTTAGCATACTGCCTATACCAAATCAAATCAGACCTTCAGTACGAGAGAAACAGGGAAAACATACCTGAGAAGAGCTTGAAGACAAGGAGATGAGACGCAGAACAAAAGTTCCATTCTTTCAGATGGATTACATGGGCCATCCCGGATGCTTGACACCTACGAGTTGAATTAGTTTTAGGAACGACTCCCTAACTAGACTTACAATGTCGTCCATAGTCTGAAATGCTCTCTCGCATGTAGGACCGCGTGATTTTTCCCACTCTACACGGAGGAGTTTACAGCAGGTCTTGACCTGAAAAGACAAAAAACTTAGATGAGCGCGATTCAAAAAACCTGTACGGTACCATAAAAGGCGAGGCTTGCTGAGCGTCGACAGCTTCTATAAACGGCGCCATTTCCCAGTCTGATATAAAGACAGCTATAGCTCAAACCATGAAACAAAAATCCCTTTACCTCTTAATTCATTTTCAGCATTTTTCTTCTTCACATCCAAGCAACGAGCAAGAATTAGAACCTGTTGTATCGGACTAAGAGCCTTCTGGTGCAGGAACTCAATGTTTGAGCTTTCCAGCCTTGGATATAACAGTACGTCACCTTGTTCAGCAGGTTTATCAACCCTCTCAAGGACGTGAAGGTTCGATTCATCTTTCAGAACCATCTGCGCAGTCGGATCACTCTGCACACTCGGTCGAACAAGAATTTCAAACTAGGAAAAGAAAAATATTACAACATCTTACTTGGTATTGCCTACGAAATCCCATTGCACCTTCGACGGAGTACACCAATCCAGCAGTTTTTTCTGCTTGAGTAACGAAAAGTCTGCACCAGATAAGTCAATTAGTGCAACAGATAAAAGAAACAGTAATACACACCGTCCTTCGTCCGCATGACCATAATAATACTCCACCAAAGCAGCTTCTGTGAAAGCCATTGTAGCAATTGCGTTTTCTTCTTCCAGAGAGACAAGGCTGTACCACCCGCAGCAATCTTTCAGAAACTTAGTGCCAAAACACTTGACAACTGCCGCATAGCCACTAGCAACATCTTTCAAAAGAGTAGGAGACCTTTCCTCCAGTGACTTCTGCTGGCAAAATAAAGCCCGCGCGATCCACCACACCCGTGTCGCTGGCTCCTTGATATTTTTTATAGCTTCAAACATAACCTTTGCAACAACAAGGTACTGAGAGAAGGAGAGCGTAAGAAAGTGACAATTCAGAAAGAAAAGAGTTACCTGAGGACAATTGCACTTTCCCTGGAGATCGCACCCGTCCACCATAAGTTCGCTACGAGCCCAAGTATCCCAGCTTTGCTCTGAGGCTGCAATCCAAGGCTCCATCTTGGAGATAGCATCGAGAGGGAAAGCTGGAACGTCAAGCTCCGGCCTTGAAGACCACAAACTTAACAAGAAGGAAAGAAAAATCGTTGATAGAGAACTTACCCTGTGAAGTTGGACTGTAAGAAAACGCAGAAGAACGAAACCCCTGCAGCCATTACCAGCATTGACGCAGCTTCATTTGCTTCTTTCTCCACGAAACTCCGCACATTTCTAGAAATCTTGTCGTAGAAGATCCTCCCAGAAACACTAGGATCATAGCTGACATCGCCGAAGATCTCACGCATAACCTCCATTGCTGCCACTCGAGAATACAAGCCCTGCTCTATGAAATCCACCGCTTGCAGTAGCGATGATTCGACGTCTGTGCTGGCGCGTACCGGATCGATCGGAGCCGCATTGATTCGCAGCGCGCAGCGGAGTAGACGTAGCTCGCAGGATTCGCTTACCTCCATCGCGCCGAGCGCGAAATCCCTAAACCCCTACCTAAATCGCAGAGCTGGTTTTTTAGGGCTGTTGGAAAATGTGGGTTTCTTTGCGTAAGAAATCCTGGATTGCGAGTGGTAGGATAAGGCGCGGATGAGGTACTGCTGCTATACGATGATCGTAATCTCGCCAGAATGATCCGCAATTCCAGTGCTGCTCATGCAGTAGCACGAATCCATGCCGCGCCATCGACATCCTCGCAGCAAATTTGCCAGATTCCACTTCCCAGCACTGCTCCATTGCAAATCCCTGCGCTCCTCCGCAATCTAAGCTTCTCCCATTCGCGATCACACAAGCGCGCGCCGGGATCTTGCGTTTTGGCCACAAATGCTGCCGCTGCTAGTGCTGGCGTCTTTCCAGGGGGGACGAGGAGAGCGTCTGTGAGGCTTCCAGGACTAGGATTGAGGCTCAAGGCGGAGGATATTTTGGAGGATGGCGAGGAGAAGAAGGCAGTGCTCGACTCGGCGGTGGCAGCCGGATTAAATCTGGTAATTCTCGAGGATGGAAAGGAAGATAGCTTGAGATTCTACGATGCTGCGCGAATTGTCATGTCCATCGTTAGAGGAAGAGCGGATGTTTTGATCGTGGAGAGGGTGGACATTGCTGCTGCTGCTGGATCAAATGGTGTGGTTTTGTCAGATCAAGGTAGGAAAAGGCCTTCTCTTCTTTAAGTTTACGTACTCAGAGAGTTCTTTGTCCTCCTTTGTTTGAGCAGGCCTTCCTTCCGTGGTTGCGAGAAGGATGATGCAAAACGCAATGCCTGAGGCTGTGGTGCTTCCGCTGGTTGCAAGAAGAGTCACCTCTTATCAGTCCGCCGAGATTGCAACGATCACGGAAGGAGCAGATTTTTTGCTGCTACAATGCGAGCAAGCATCGTCAGCCAGTGCTAAAGCTCTAGTGGAAGGCATTTGCAAGCGGGTGAAGATTCCTGTGTTTTTGGAGTGGGCTCGTCAAGAAGAGGATGCTGTGAAACTTCTCAAAGTTGGTGCCGGTGGGATTATACTCGACTCTTTGCCAGCGGCCGCCGAAGTTTCGAGTTTCGTTACAGACCTTGCTTCAAAAGTGGCGTCATCGGTCTATACTAAATCCGGGAAAGGATTGAGCTTGAATGGCGAAGGTGCTAAATCCTCGTCGACTGCAGCAGCGGCTGTTTTGAGCTCGATAGAGCAACAAGCGAAGCTTCTCATCGAAGAAGAGCGGCCTATACTTACATCTGCTGTTGAGATCATCAAAGAGGCGTCACCACAGGTACAATACCGAACATTTTCTTGAGTTCTCTAAATGTACTTTCATTACAGATGGAGGAAGTAGGCTTGCTCGTTGATGCGGTCAAGCAGCTAGAAGAACTTTTTCTGCTGGTTGTAGTGGTGAGAGCACGTCACTTTCTTTTTTTGTTACAATCTGACCTCTGTTTTCTTCTAAAGTGTAGGGTGAGTTCAACTCTGGAAAATCTTCAGTCATCAATGCGCTACTCGGTGACAGGTTCTTAAAACAGGGAGTACTTCCAACCACGAACGAGATAACCTTGCTGAAGTATTCCGACGAGAGCTATGAGGAGCGTCCGGCGAGGCACCCTGATGGCCATCTCATGCGGTATCTTTCTGCTGGGCTGTTAAAACAGGTCCACATATAGGCTCTTGCTTTCAATGTTATGAGTGTGATAGAAATACGTGAGTATAGGCATTGATGTTCCTGTTTGTTTCTCTGTTCTTGTTGCAAGCTCCTAATTGTTCATCTTTGCTTCGGTGCAGATGAACCTTGTGGACACTCCTGGCACAAATGTTATACTTCAAAGGCAACAGCGATTGACAGAGGAGTTCGTGCCTCGGGCTGATCTTGTTCTGTTTGTTATTGGAGCTGAGAGGCCACTCACTGAAAGCGAGGCAAGCTCTCACACATCATTCTGCATTTCACGTTTTGATGTGATACGTCTTCTATCAGGTTTCTTTTTTACGGTACATACGCAGGTGGAACAAAAAAATTATTTTCACTCTAAATAAGTGTGATCTCCTTTCTGAAGAATCGGAGGTAGGCAAAGGTTTTTGTTGCTTCACTGCTGACGCATTTTCTTTTAAAGGTGGAGGAAGTCAGAAGGTTCGTAGCGGACAACGTTCGACAGCTACTGAATATCGAAGCAGCAATGATTTTTCCAATTTCTGCGAGGAAGGCATTGCACGCAAAAGTCAAAGCTAAACAACTGGAAAGCAAGAATCTAGAAAGAGATCCCCTTTGGACAGCCAGCGGGTTCGACAAACTTGAGCAGTATGTTCTGGACTTTCTCGGAGGTTCATCAGATGCTGGTGCTGAGAGGATCCGATTGAAGCTGGAAACACCGATAGGAATCGCGGCTGCACTGCTTTCAGCTGCTCGGAAGCAAGTAGAAGCTGATGCGGCAAACAATGAAGTTGATCAGAAGGTCCTTGATGAAATGGAGGACCAGTTTACTAGTTACAAGCAGTTGCTGGGAACCAATGTGGATCTGCAAGTTCAGCTGGTTATTACTGCGGTAAGCATTCGAGTCGTTTTAGTTTTTTATTTTGCTAACTTGAGGGCAACTTTAGGTGGCCGAAGCAACTGCAAGAGCTTTAAAATTTGTAGATAAAAGATTACAGGTTACGAGCGTGGACACGGCGTCAAAATACTTATTGCCGCGAAACGAGACATCGTCCGCTGGTGCGGCTACTTTTGAGCGTGAAATAATTGGCACGGCATTGTCCGATGTTAAGGTAACAAAATGCTCTCGCTGTATTCGTTTCTAAGTCTAAACTTTGCAGAACGCGATAGAAGATCACAAGCTTTGGGTAACTCTGAACACCCAAAGGCAACTGGAGAAATATGTGGAAATTGGCAAGAGCCGATGGCCTGACACGGAAGTCGTGACGGATTCCTGGTCCGAAAACGTAAGTTTCTCTGGCCGCAGCTTGACAGCGCTGGACGAATTCGACGTCAAGGCCGCCAATCTTCTTTTGGAGCAGGAACTTCGTGAAGCGGTGAGAGTCAAAAAATTTTATTCTTTTCTAGAGCTTCACAGTTATGAATGACATATATCCACTGCACAGGTTTTCAGCACCTTTGAAAGCCTCGGAATTGCCGGTGCGTCCGCATCGTTGTTAACTTCGGTACTGCCAACGACATTGGAGGATTTAATTGCGCTTGGGTTGTGCTCAGCTGGAGGGTACGCTTTTTTATCTCTCAGCCTTTTCTTTTCTCTTTTCTCGTAGTAGCTAGAGCATCTAAAGTTCTTCTCCTTTTTCTTCCTTGCAGGCTTGTAAGTATCTTCAAGCTTTCATCCCTGCGTGAAGAGATCAAGAGAAAAGTAGAGCAAGTGGCGCAATCTCTATCCCTGAAACTCGAGGAGGAGATGAAAGCCGAGCTCCAAGAATCCATTCAATCGATCGAGAGCTCGGTGCTTCAATTCACCGCTCCATACCGATCGCTAGTGGAGAAAGAGTCGACCAGAATCGCCGCTGTCCAGGAGAAGCTCGTTGTCATCGATAAAGAGCTCCAAATGTTGCGGAAGAACATCCAAAACCTTGGCTCGTAAAGAGAATTATAATTGACTTGGTCAACGAAGCAACGGTCAAGTAATAGCCTTTGACCCTTCAAATAGAAATTTAGGGCATCGTCGTGATCCCAGCTAAGGAGCTCCTGGCTATGGCCGCGAGACCGCGGCTCGCGCTCTTGGGGCTTTGGACCGTCGCCTTCTTGGCGCGCTGCCTCGCGCAATGGCAGCCCCGGGATTTCTATCGCATTGATTGCGGCGCCGCTTCCAACACCTCCTCTGGCGATCGGCATTGGCAAGGTGAGCCTCCTCAATCGCCGGCATTCGCCTCCTCCGGGATTTCGATCAACACCAGCGCTCAAAATCCCGAGCTCCCGTCGCCCGCGCCCTACCTCACGGCCAGAATCTTCACGGCACGCGCGAACTACAGCTTCCCTGTCGATCCGGGCAGGCACTGGATACGTCTCCACTTCTACCCTTTCCCCAGCCCGGGGTTCGATCCAGCTCTCGCGAATTTCTCCATCACAGTTGGCCCTTACACCCTCTTTAGCGGCGGGATCGTGGATAGCGTGAGACGCTCTGGCAGCGGCGGCGTCTATCTTGTCAAGGAGTACTCGGTCGTGGCAGAGGGATCGGAGCTGGCGATCGTCTTCCAGCCTTCGCCCAGCTCCAACGGGTCCTTCGCGCTCATCAATGGCATAGAGTTGATGTCCATGCCGGAGGACGCCTTGCAAGACGATGCCGTGCTCCTGGGACAAGGCACGGCCACCAAGTTTGGCTTCTCCAGGCTAGCTCTGGAAACTGTCTACCGCCTCAACGTTGGTGGCGCTTCCGTGAACGCCGCTAACGACACCCAGCAGCGCTCCTGGGTGTCCGACGGCCATGGATTCATCGAGGGCGCCGCGGCAGGGGTTGGATCCCAGGACTTTTCTTCGAGCATCAAGTTCACGAAAGAGGTCCCGGAGTTCATCGCTCCCGCGGCCGTCTATGGCACGGGACGGGTGCTTGGCATCTCCAACACCGTGAGCAACACTTTTAAGATCTCATGGAGCTTCCCGGTGAGCCCCGGCTACTCTCACCTCGTCCGCCTCCACTTCGCTGAGCTCTACTACACCAAGACGTACCAGCGGATGTTAACGTCTATATCAACAACAGGACGGCGATTGATGGGCTTGACTTGATCGTCTGGGCCCGAGATCACACCCGTTTACAAGGACTTTGTCGTGATCCCCAGCAGCGGGGTACGATCACTCAGGGTCCAGATTGGTCCGGCTCCGAACTCCAACGCGCAGTTCAATGACGCCATCTTGAACGGTCTCGAGATCTTCAAGATGAACAGCACCGCCGGGAACCTCTCGGACAGCGACGGCGGTGAGAGCTCTAGCAGCTCCAGCGGGAGGAGCGGCGGCTCCAAGGGTGTGGGAGCTATCGTCGGTGCGGCAGTCGGGGGGATAGCTCTCCTCGCGCTCCTGGCGGCGTGCGTCTTCGTGCTGTGCTGCCGCCGGGGAGCAAAAGGTGGCAAGAAGCTCGGGTGGAGGCCCGTTCCAGCGTCGCAGGCCGGGACTGGGACTTCCACCGTCACGCTCGGCTTCCCCGGGAGCAGTCCCGCGACGCACTACTCGGTCACCCCGGCAAACTCGTGCAAGCACTTCTCGCTCCAGCAGATCGTGGACGCGACCGACGGCTTTGACGACGATCTGCTGCTCGGCGTGGGCGGTTTCGGCAAAGTGTACAAAGGAGAGATCAATGGCGGCACAAAAGTCGCGGTGAAGCGTGGGAATCCAATGTCCGAGCAGGGCATGACGGAGTTCCAGACCGAGATTGAGATGCTGTCCAAGCTCCGCCACCGTCACCTTGTCTCGCTCATCGGCTACTGCGACGAGAACTCGGAGATGATCCTCGTCTACGACTACATGGCGAACGGGCCCCTCCGAGGACATCTCTACGGATCCGATGCCCCGACGCTGTCGTGGAAGCAAAGGCTGGAAATCTGCATTGGTGCTGCGCGGGGCCTGCATTATCTCCACACCGGCGCTCAGCGAGCGATCATCCACAGGGACGTGAAGACCACCAACATTCTTCTCGACGAGAAATTCGTTGCCAAGGTCTCGGACTTTGGCCTGTCCAAAGTTGGTCCTTCTCTCGACCACACGCACGTAAGTACCGCAGTGAAGGGAAGCTTTGGTTACCTGGACCCGGAGTACTTCCGGAGGCAGCAGCTAACAGAGAAGTCCGACGTCTACTCGTTTGGAGTGGTGCTCATGGAGGTGGTGTGCGCTCGGCCGGCGATAAATCCAGCGCTTCCCAGAGATCAAGTTAGCATCGCGGAATGGGCTCTCCACTGGCAGAAGCTGGGAAGGCTGAGTAATATCATGGATCCAAGGCTGGCCGGAGACTGCACTCCCGAGTCTCTCCAGAAGTTTGGAGAGATCGCCGAGAGGTGCCTCGCTGATAGAGGAAGTGAGCGGCCTTCCATTGGCGACGTCCTCTGGAACCTTGAGTACTCGTTGCAACTCCACGATGCAGCGATGTTCCATCACCATCAACGTTCCGAGGATGGAAACTCCAATCTGGCCCGGCCGACACCAGAGATACCGAGAACTTCGAGCGACAGCCAACGGACGATGATGTCTTTCGAGGAGAATCACTCGGGAGACACCACGGCGAGCGTGGTCTTCTCCCAGCTTGTGCATCCCGAAGGACGATAAGTTATCGGTAAGTGTTTGATCTTCTAGACTTCCTGTTCTTCTCTTTTCGCTTCTCACTCTCGGAAACATCGCAGATAAGTTATCTAGAATAGCAAGAAACGCACCCAGTCGAGACCTCTAAGCAAGTTCTCGAGTGGCTTGGGTATTCTCTGTGTATCTAGCACACTTTGTCCGGGAAGAACTACCGGTACGCTACATAAATAAATTGGCTCGAGATTTTTTTGAAAGAAGAAAGGATCACTTGCCTGTAACTTGCGTCTTCCCCAGTGTATAGCCTCGTTGTGTGATTGATGATACAGATCGATCCTTGCAGGACCTTTGATCGCACCTCCACGATCTTCCACCTGATGAAGTAAATAGAATGTGAAAGACGAGAAGAATGAAAGCTCGCTAGAACCCTTCCCCAGCCATATCCTGGAACAAACATCCTCCACTGTAGCGGACTCCCGTGGGAGTCCCATGCAAATGCATGGGCATCAAAAAAAAGTATTTTGTGAAGATTATATAACGAAGCTCACGAAAAAAATGTGGGAGTGGGCGCAAAACTCTTGTGAGCATGGCAATGGCGTCTTCACAGGCAAGCATAGATCTCTCACATGGCCCTCCCCACATTGTTTTAAGATCTCAACCCCTTGCTTGGCTTCCCATAGATTTGGTGTGATGACAACAACGTTGGTGCCAGGTAATATGCTATGGAAACACTCCGTGACAACATTGAGTAATACCAGGATGCGACAGTGGAAGGATAAGCGGGTGAGGACAAGCTATGGCGATTGTGATGATGACCTGAGTCCTAATCGGTTTGTATCAGCTGCATTTGTTCCATGGTCATGGCGTGGAAATAGTCTCCAGGGAGCTGGGAGCTGAGCTTTGAAAAATTAAAGAGAGAGAGAGAGAAAATATGAGATACACATCTGGAAGATAAGAACTTTTCATCTCTCTTTCTCTCTCTCTCTTTCTAATGCCATCTTAAATTCTCTAATAAGCACCCTTTTATTGTTTAAAGGTATTTACAATTTGCTGCTCGCAAGAATTCAGCCCCTGTTTGCCCCAACTTATCCACTACTGTCTGGGCGGTCTTTATGAAAATCCGAGTGAGCTGTCTCAGCTCCAGCAGCACCAAGCACATAAAAAATGCAACAATTAGCTTTGAAACCGTGCAGGAATTTGCGAATTCTAGCTCTTTTTGGCTACAGGGATACATTGGGAAAAGGGGGTTGGATTTGCAAACTACCTGATTTACAATATCTGTTCTTCCAGAGAGAACTCACCACTCTCATCTTCCTGGACGATAAAAATTTTAGCTGCCGATTCTGGTTCAATTGTGATATACAGTCCTGTAGGACTTTGGCCTTGGTTCTCTGAAGCGTAAAGAATAGCAATGGTCGATCTTGGGCGATTTCTTTTCACCTTTAAACTTACAAATTGTGAGCTTTTTGATTGTACTATGGCCCTTAGAGTACAAAACACCATGCCGTACTCGTTATCACGGAAGAATAAGATCTTGTCAGTTTTATTGATGATCAGATGTTTGGAAGCAGATGTTCCCATTGTTATCCTTGCCTCTCTTTCTCTCTCTCTCAATCTTTCTCTCTGGGACCTTGAAACCCTCGTTTTGAGTTCGCTCAAGGATTTTCTTTTAATCTCAATTCATTGCTGATGTGGGATAGCAATCTCATTGATTGTTCTTCATGCTACAGATTAATTGCAATTTGATGACAATCAATCTGTCACATGAAGAACAATAGTAAGCTCCACCGCTTGTTGTTATCAATGGAGTTCGACATTTTCATAATAACAATGTTTGTATGGAATTGCTTGTTTATAAATGTAATAAAATATTTATAAATATAGTTAGATATTTTTTTTCTAGTTACAATACTTATGTTTTCTCCCTTCTCATCATCATTATTCTTTAAAGTGTTATTTTATAATTAGATAATAATATTATAAAATAGATTATAAAGTACTTATTTTTAACTTTATCTTTGTTGTAATATAGTTTTAAAGTATTATATTAATATTTTAGAAACTATTAATACTGATAAATATAAATTTAAATATAAATAAATTATGTATTTCTTTCTTCATCATAATTAAATATTATATATTTTGAAGTGTTATGCTTATCACCTTAAAACAATTAAAAATAAATATACTATATAATGACTTACAATTAAATATTTTAATTTCCTCCTATCATTATCAAGCTTTATAACATTTGAAAAGGTACTCATAATGTATAATTATAATATATTACAAAACTTTTAAAATATTTATAAAAAGTATTTACTTTATTAAATACTTCTTTTATCATTTTTAAATATATTATCTATTAAAGATAGGCTTATGATTGAGGATTTTTCACTTAGAGTGTTTGACACAAATTCATCTTTTCTTTTCATTTTTTTATAATTTTATTAATTCATAGAATATCTCCAAGTTTTATATCCTTGAAGCAAGCTTATATATATACAAAGAGATTAAATGATAAAAAAAGTACATAATAAAGGTAAAAACTTATGATTATTATGAGAATTTTATAATATACTTTAAGTACAAATGCAACAATCAATAGATGGATAATATCAAAGTCAAAGACAATAGTATCTTAAAGACTAAATTATTAGTAGATAAAGCTCAACATTAATAAATGGTAAGGGCAGATAGATGTGTTGAATTTGTGGATGTAAGTGAATTTCCAGTTTTTGTATTAAACTCAGACTTCATTTGTCATGTACTCTTTTATGTCATTTTTTCAAATATTTGATTTTAGTCATTATATGGCATCTTATACTCAAAATCTTTTAAAAATTGTTTCCTTCCCTTCTTTCCTTTTTCTTTTAGTTAAAATATTAAAACTATTACTTCTAACATTAAAGATATCAATTTTTACTTCCATACCACTTAAGATGAAGTACTTTTTCTTTATTAAAATTTCCACTATTATGGAGTTATCTTTAAATTAATAGCACAAAAATTAAATATCTTAAGTATATCAATTATTTTACAAGTTTTCTTTCAATTTTGATATCACCCTAATGCTTGAATAACCTAAGAGCATTGCAACTTGCAAAATTGTATGACACCCATAATCCAAGATGTAGGCTTCCTTAGGAACTTTCTAAATTATATATTAACCAACTCTTAATTATAAAGTTTTGCCAAATTCCTTTCTAGTCATTTTTGAAATGTTAAAAAAAAATTTCTCAAAAAAAAATCATCATTTTTAGTGTTAAGCTGCCATAGAACCACTATATATATAAATTTTCTATATCTTCTTTATAAAAAAAGGCATGTAGTCTTGAAATTGTTATTAATCTTGGTCTTTTAAAGGAAGCTAAATGCAAATAATGTTTGTTTATGTCCATACAAAATCAAAACCTTGTAATTGGTTTTTTATCAATAACTCTAGAACAACATTTTAACACTAGTAAGTACTTAGTATAGTTTTATTATAGGTTTTATTACTTTTCCTGATATGTAGATTTGATATGATTTTTGATTAAAAATAATTGTCTGTGCATTCCATTTAGCAGTTACTTGTTTTTTTTAATAGTAGTGTTATCTAAATTTAATAATCTTATTTATCAAATGGAAGTTTATAATTATAAACATGTTTATAATTTATAAAAATAAAATTAATCTTATTGCATTTCAACCATTAAATGGTAGAATAAACTAGAATATACTACAAAGTGTTTAGGAAAGTTTATTAAATATTAACATGTCCATAAATTATAAATACTCAATTTATCTAAATGAATAATAACTGTTAGATTATAGAATATCCCAGAATATCCAAGCATATTTTTGATATATCCATTACTATCTATAGTATTGCCTAATCAAACCAAAAAGTGAAACTGATATATACAATTTTATTTCATAGTTTATTTACTAGTTTAATCTATGGTTTATATAAGAATTTTACTTTATCACTTTGATTTATAGTTTATTTAGTAGTTGTTTATATACAATTTTATAAAGTTACAATCAAACACTATGAACACTACAAAATTGGGATGAAAAGATTTCATGGTTACCACTATCTACTATTTAGTTATGGCAATCCTACTGCTAGCTGGAAAGGTAATAAAAAGAACATTAAATTAGAAGTAATCCCTCCAATGTTGTTGATGCTAGTGTATTCTAATGGCTCTTATGTGTTCTTCAAGCCTCTAAAGAAAAGCATAACAACATAAAAAAAAAGCAAAGTTACTTTATAATGCCAATCTATAGATAGATTTAAAAACCAAAAGATCCTATCAACTTAGATCTGGATGAAAATAAAAGTGTTACCTTCTAAGATGGATGGAGCCTTTATGAAAAAACAGAAAGCTAACGAATAGAAAAAAATAAAAAAATAAAAAAAACTTTCATGTCTTGCTTCAATTGTCTAGGCACTAATGGACTAGGTGTGTTGGATGGCCATTGCTTGGCCATGTGCATAGCAACTTGGCAGTATGGCTGTAGTGTTGCTATTTGCTATGTTATGCAATGGCTTAGGCTTAGATAGACCAAGCTAGGGCATGCCATAGAGCTGGGCTGAGCTGGGTTGTGGTGTGGAGCTAGTGGCAAGGAATCAATATCTATAGAGCTCAACTAGCACTCAGCTGCAATGGTGTAAAACACATGGTATCCGATAGTGATATATCATAGGATAACCATAAAGTAGAATATTAACCCTCTATATGCCACATGCCACATGTTATGTGTCTAAATAATAATTGTGTGGAACCCGAGTTTCAAAGGTTTGGGCCACTGAATGAAAGAATGGAGCCAAACTCATAAACATAGAGCCAAAGAACAATAACATTAGAACATGGAACTACTTTCAAGCGTACAGTTTAAGGAATGAAGGGATTGTGATGATGACCTGAGTCCTAATTAGTTTTGTATCAACTATGGTCATGGCGTGGAAATAGTCTCCAGGGAGCTGGGAGCTGAGCTTTGAAAAATTAAAGAGAGAGAGAGAGAAAATATGAAATACACATCTGGAAGATAAGAACTTTTCATCTCTTTCTCTCTCTCTCTTTCTAATGCCATCTTAAATTCTCTAATAAGCACCTTTTTATTGTTTAAAGCTATTTACAATTTGCTGCTCGCAAGAATTCAGCCCCTGTTTGCCCCAACTGTATCCACTACTGCCTGGGCGGTCTTTATGAAAATCCGAGTGAGCTGTCTCAGCTCCAGCAGCACCAAGCACATAAAAAATGCAACAAGTAGCTTTGAAACCGTGCAGGAATTTGCGAATTCTAGCTCCTTTTGGCTACAGGGATACATTGGGCAAAGGGGGCTGGATTTGCAAAATACCTGATTTACAGTATCTGTTCTTCCAGAGAGAACTCACCACTCTCATCTTCCTGGACGATAAAAAATTTAGGTGCCGATTCTGGTTCAATTGTGATATACAGTCCCGTAGGACTTTGGCCTTGGTTCTCTGAAGCGTAAAGAATAGCAATGGTGGATCTTGGGCGATTTCTTTTCACCTTTAAACTTACAAATTGTGAGCTTTTTGATTGTACTATGGCCCTTAGAGTACAAAACACCATGCCGTACTCGTTATCACGGAGAAATAAGATCTTGTCAGTTTTATTGATGATCAGATGTTTGGAAGCAGATGTTCCCATTGTAATCCTCGCCTCTCTTTCTCTCTCCCTCTCTCTGGGCTCCAAAAAGACCTTGAAACCCTCGTTTTGAGTCTGCTCAAGGATTTTCTTTTAATCTCAACTCATTGCTGGTGTAGCTCTAAAATGCCAGGCAAGGCAAATGGAGACGAGGCAGAAGAGTCGCAAATCTATCCCACATGCTATTGTTCTTCATGCTATAGATTAATTGCACTTTGATGGCAATTGAAAAACAATAGTAAGCTCCACCGTTTGTGGAAGACACCTCTCGGCGATCTCTCCAAACTTCTGGAGAGACTCGGGAGTGTAGTCTCCGGCCAGCCTTGGAACCATGATATTACTCAGCCTTCCCAGCTTTTGCCAGTGGAGAGCCCATAGAGATGTCCCGAGGATGGAACTCTGATCTGGCCGGGCAGACACCGGATCGAGCGACAGCCAACGATGATGATGTCTTTCGAGGAGAATGGCTCGGAAGACACCTCGGCTAGCGTGGTCTTCTCCCAGCTTGTGCATCCCAAAGGACGATAAGTTACCGGTAAGTGTTTGATCTTCTAGACTTCCTGTTCTTCTTTTTTCGTTTCTCACTCTCGGAAACATCGCAGATTAGTTATATCTAAAATAGCAAGCAACGTACCCAGTCGAGACCTCTAAGCAAGTTCTTGAGTGGCTTGGGTATTCTCATTGTATCTAGCACGCTTTGTCCGGGAAGAACCACCAGTACCTTACATAAGTAAATTGACTCGATATTGTTTTGAAAGAAGAAAGGATCACTTGCCTGTAACTTGCGTCTTCCCCAGTGTATAGCCTCGTTGTGTGATTGATGATACAGATCGATCCTTGCAGGACCTTTGATCGCACCTCCACGGTCTTCCACCTGATGAAGTAATAGAATGTAAAGATGAGAAGAATGAAAGCTCACTAGAACCTTTCCCCAGCCATATCCTGGAACAAACATCCTGGTTCCAAAAGGATAGTAGTTTGTATCAGCTGCGATCGTTCCATGGCGTGGAAATAGTCTCCAGGGGAAAAGAAGCAAACGAGCTGGGAGCTTGTGGTACTGCAAGAAACTGAGCTTTGAAAAAATTGGTGGTCTGGCCTGGAAAAAGAGAAAGAGAGAAAAAAAGATGAGATACGCTTCTAGAAGATAAAGAACATGGAAATTGTCAATGCGAACTATCATTTCTCTCATTTTTGTGTGTGTCTTTCGTCCTCTTGACTCTCTGACCTTTGAAATTGACAGTATGATCGATCCAAAAGTACCTGAGCTGGGAAAGTGCCATTAGATGTAAGACCGTAGTATGGAGATCCAGAGAGACTAGTGGCAGTCCAAAACCTGGAATGCTCAGAGCTTAAGAACACGGGCAGCGTAAAAGAAAAATTCTTACTTTGCAATGAGTGGCAATGCAGCTTCGTCCAAATACCCCCGTTTTCTCTTGCGGAAGCGCAACGGAACCCAGGATGGCGAGATCCCCAAGTAGTAGAAGCCTGGCAATTTGATTCCCCATTCCCAATTGCAGCAGTAGCCACAGCTGCATGGAAGTCATGCCGATCGCCTGCGCATTGCAAATTCAAGCTTACCTGCAGTAGGCCGTGCACTCGATCAGCTTCTTGGACGGCGGCATTCTCCCCCCTACCCCGCCCAAGCTTAAGCCATTCTAAGAACCCTAACTTAAGAGCCCTAACAAACAGGGGAGCATATTCGATATTCGATTTGGTCTATTTTATGCTTGCTGAGAGGAAGATCTTGGCGCAGCTCGTCAAGGCCGCCGGCGATGGCAGGGACGCGGTCGATGGGCGGCGGATTCATGCGCGCGTCTTGCGCAGGGAGCTCGGCCGCGATCGATTCCTCCAGAATCTCCTGGTGGAGATGTATGGCAAATGCGGGCGATTGGAGGAAGCCCTGGCGGTGTTCGAGGGCATCGATCAGCCAAACATCTTCTCCTGGAACATCATGCTCCAGGCGATGGCGCACAGCGAGGATGTGGAGGCCACGGTAGGGTTCTTCGAGCTCATGCCCGTCCGGGACGCTGTTTCTTGGAATGCGATGCTCAAGAAGCAGTGCTGCTGCCACGAGGATGGAAGAGGGGAATCGATCCAGGCGCGGGATTTCTTCCAGCGGATGCCGCATCACGGCATCGTCGCGGCCACCGCGATGATCGCAGCGCTTGGCCACGATCGCCAGGTCTCCCAGGCGCAGGAGATTTTCGACGCGATGCCTGCCCAGGACGTGGTTTCTTGGACCGCGATGACGACGGCGCTGGCGGCGACCGGAGATCTAGACCGCGCGAGGGGGATGTTCGATCGGATGCCGGAGAGGAACGAGGTGACTTGGAAGGCATCGATCCAGGCGCTCGCGGAGAGGCGATTCCTCCCCCAGGCCAGGGAGATGTTCCAGCGAATGCCGGCGCACGATTCTTTCGCGTGTAACGCGATGATCCAGGCGTACGTCGAGAGCGGCGATCTGGAGAGCGCCCGCGAGACATTCTCGTCAATGGAGGAGAAGAACGCCGTGGCGTGGAATTTGCTCATCGTTACGCATGCCTCGAATGGGTATGTGGAAGAGGCCGTGAATTTCCTCCATAGCACTCCACACGAGGACGTGATGCCGTGGAACGCAACACTCCAATCGCTAGCGCACAGAGGCATGCTGGGAGAGGCGAGGAAGATCTTCGCTACTATGCCACAGCGAAACTTTGTTTCGTGGTCACTGATGATCGCTGCAAATGCCGAGGCCGGGGATCTAGAAGCCGCGAGGGATTTGTACGAGCGATCGCCAACGCCGCGAGACATGATCGTCTCAACGGCGATGCTCTCGGGGTATGCTCGAAACGGCTGCCTGGATCGAGCGGGGAGCTTGTTCGACGAGATGGAGAGCTGGGACGTTGTCGCGATCACGACCATGATCACGGCATACGCGAACCATGGTGTTCTTGGCGAGGCCTGGGATTTGTTCCGGAGGATGCCGCAGAGAGATCGCGTGACTTGGAACACTATGATCGCGGCCTACACTCACAACTCTCGGGCCAGAGAAGCGAGAGTTTTGCTCGAGAGGATGCCGAGATGGAGCTCGGTTTCGTGGAACACGGTTCTCTCCGGTTACGCGTACGCTGGTCTCTTGGCCGAGGCAACCAAGTTGGCGATCGAGATGCCGCAGAGGGACGTGGTTTCCTTCACGATCATGCTCGCGGCGAGTGCTCTAGCCGGAGAGCTCGCTCAGGCCAAGAAGATCTTCGACGCGATGCCACAGCGAGACGCAGCGTCCTGGCACACAATGCTCGTCGTCTACGCGCAGCACGGCCGCCTCACGGACGCTCGCTCGATCTTCGAGGAGATGCCGCAGCGAGACGTGGTGTCCTGGACGGCGCTGGTGGCGTCCAACGCTCGCCACGGCCGCTGTGAGGACGCGAGGCGCTTGTTCCAGCTCATGGAGCTCGAGGGAGAGCTCCCGGACGAGGTGAGCTTCACCGGTATCCTGAGCGCCTGCTGCCACACCGGATCGCTGGACGACTGCTGGAGTTTCTTCCGGGCGATGGTGGGCGACTACAGCATCCGGCCGCTCCAGGAGCACTTCTCGTGCTTGGCGGACGCGCTGGGCCGCGCCGGGAGGCTGGCGGAAGCTCGGGAAGTGGTGGAGAGAATGCCATTCTCGCGGGATACAGCCACCGAGACGAGCTTGCTGAGCGCCAACCGGATCCATGGCGAGGTGAGCGAGGAGGATATCACAGTGGACGATCGTGGCGGTGCCTGTGCAGCGCTGATTTCCAACGCTTTGGCTGCCGCTGGGAGGAGGGAGGATCCAAGAGCTCGCGCGAGCAACGCTGGGTTGAGGCCTGGGCGGAGCTGCGTTTTTGCTGCGTGAGAAAGAAAGAAGGTCTTTCTTTTGATTGGTTACAAATTGGGGTCATGGTTTAGGGTTTGTTTGGAGGAGCTGGGAAGTAGGTTCCATGGCGCCAGACCTCAAGAGCGACTCCTCGGCTCCACAGCCACCGGCGAAACCGGCCAAGGATGCCAAGAAGAAGAAGGACGAGAAGGAGGATCTGGTACGTGTGCTAGCTCTGCTCATGCGGGATTTGATTTGCCGACATTGGAATTTGCGTTTGCGTCTAGTCGGAGGAAGATTTGGCGCTCAAGCAGCAGCTGGAACTCTATGTGGAGAGGGCGCAGGACAGCGATCCTGGAGTCCAGAGGCTGGCTCTGGAGAGTATGAGGTACGCGAGTAGGAGTTTAATCGTTCGTGTTGTGAGGAGCTGTGTGTATGCGCAGGCAAGAGATTCGGAGTGCTACAAGCTCCATGACTTCCGTGCCCAAGCCGCTGAAATTCCTCCGCCCGCATTATGGGACTTTGAAGGCGTTCTTCCAGAAAATGCCCGAGTCGGAGCTCAAAGTGAGTAGTGCTTTGAGAAATGTGAAGCTCACGAATTTTTTCTTTCTCTTCCTTTTCCTGATAGATGTATATGGCTGATATCATCTCGGTTTTGGCACTTACCATGTCGGAAGAAGGAGAAAGGGTATGTTGAAGCTAATTTTGTTATATCAGGAACACTGAAACACTCTTGCAGGAGAGCTTGCAATATAGATTGCTCGGCTCTAAGGGTGACTTGGGTTCATGGGGCCACGAATACGTCAGGTTTGTGACAGTACGCTAGCTGTTTCTTTACCGAGTAAATTGAGCTTGATTACAGAAATTTGGCTGGAGAAATTGGCCTCGAATTCCAAAAGCGTCGGGTATGTCTTTGTTTATAGTTCTTTTGCTGATTTTATCATGCAGTCGGAGGAAGAGTACATCAGCAGCTTGATGGATTTAGTAAAGCAAATTGTACCATTCCACTTGCAGCACAATGCAGAACCTGAAGCTGTAGATCTGCTAATGGAAGTAAGTAAATTTTATTTCTTGAACATGCTTACGAACTTGCATGATGTTCGAAGGTTGAAACGCTTGACATTCTACCCAAATTCATGGAGAAAGCCAACTTCAAAAGGACGTGTTCCTATCTCTTAAGCTGTGCTAGGTATGTTTCTGTACGTCTTCCGCAGTCACTCATCCATTATTGCAGCTACGTACCTGAGCTAGAGGACATATCAGTCTTGGACATCGCTTATCAAATCTATTCCAAATTTGAGCAGCATACTGATGCTTTGAGGGTTGCTCTTCGGTTGGGCAACTTGCAGGTTTGCTTCAAGTCATGTGTTAAATATGTGTCTGATGCAAATATATTCTGTTAGTACGCTCGGGCTACATTTGCAGCTTGCAAGGATTTATCGGAAAGGAAGCAGCTCTGCTACATCCTTGCCCGACAGGTAATCCTTCTGAGTGATCTTCAGTGCTAAAACTGTTGTTCACAGAGTGAAACGGTAGAGCTGGATGACGAAATTCCTATGGAGGATGAGCATCGTGACGTGTTACAAGACATTATGAACAACACGAAGCTATGTGAAGGATATCTGACTCTCGCACGGGATCTTGATGTGATGGAGCCCAAAGTACCTGAAGATATATACAAGGTACGGGCGTTTCTTTGACTTTCTCCTCATTCGAGTTGTACCACAGGCTCATTTAATTGATGGAAGAGCGAGTGCCGGAGCTAGTGTTGATTCGGCTAGACAAAACCTTGCAGCCACTTTCGTCAATGCTTTCGTCAACGCTGGTTTTGGACAGGTGAACATGAACTGATTTTCAGGATGTGCACTAAAATTATTTCTTTCCAGGATCACTTAATGACATCTCCTGCTGAGTCTTCTGGATCAACCAGCACTGGTAACTGGCTTTTTAAAAACAAAGAACATGGAAAGGCCAGCGCTACTGCCAGTTTGGTAAGGCACCTTGCTAAAGAAACCTGTCCACTGTAACTTACCGGCCGTAATCGTTCAGGGTCTTATCACCTTGTGGGATGTTGATGGAGGCCTCCCACAAATTGATAAGTATCTATACAGTACCGATAACCATGTTGTCGCGGGAGCTCTCTTGGCTGTTGGAATTATCAATTGTGGAATTCGTAATGACTGCGATCCGGTGAGCAGTCCTTTCCTTTTAGTTGTGTGTTAACATTTATTTGCATGCAGGCGTATGCTCTTCTATATGACTCAGTAACTAAAGATGATCCTGCGGTACGTATTGGTGCTATTATGGGTCTTGGCCTAGCATATGCCGGCACACAAAAAGAAGAGGTTCGTTTCTTCTACCAGTTAGGTAGCGCATTGACACGTACTTACAGGTTCTCGAGCTTCTTACTCCAATCATATCTGACTCAAGGGTTGGAATTGATGTTGCTGGTTTTGCTGCACTATCTCTTGGACTTGTTTATGTTGCATCATGCCACGAAGATGCAGCACAAGCCATACTCCTTGCGATGATGGAACGAGACAACGACGATCCTTTGGCCAGGTTCTTGTGTCTGGGATTGGGACTTCTCTACCTTGGAAAGCAGGTAGTACGCTCTTCTTTGTTTGGGGATGTAAATCGAATTTTTCTGTCAGGACGCTGCTGAGGCCACCTTTGAAGTGGTTAAAACAGTAAACGAGAAGATTTCCAACTATTGCCAAGTGACTCTCGAATCTTGTACTTATGCTGGTACTGGAAATGTTTTGAAGGTATGTCTTTTTTATAGTGATACTGCAGTGGTATAATAATATTTTTGAGCAGGTCCAAAAATTCCTGAGTCAATGCTCTGATCATTTGGACAAAGGCGAGAGTCACCAGGGTGCAGCGGTTCTAGGCATTGGACTTGTTGCTATGGCAGAAGAGCTTGGGAGCGATATGGCTTTAAGAGCTCTAGAGCACCTTTTGCAGTATGGCGAGCCAAATATTCGTCGAGCCGTGCCTTTGGCTCTGGGTCTCTTGTCGATATCGAATCCGAAGGTAAGACTTGATTTTTCTTTAAAAATTGTGCTCATCTATTGGATTATATCAGATCAATGTCATGGACACATTGAGCAGGCTGAGCCATGACACAGACTCGGAAGTCGCGATGGTATGAGCTTTACGAGTTCTTCTCCGAATGAAATCGTTATTGTTCTCTCCTGTTTTTCCCAGGCTGCAACCATTTCTCTTGGACTTATTGGCGCCGGAACAAACAATGCGCGTATTGCGGGAATGCTTCGAAGCTTGTCCAGCTATTACTACAAGGATCCCAGCCTTCTGTTCTGCGTAAGTTTGATCTCTCTTGTTTTTCTTTTTTTTCTTCGTTTTCATCTTAGTTTTGTCAATCTCTGTCACAGGTTCGGATCGCCCAGGGACTTGTACACATGGGAAAGGGACTAATCACTTTAAATCCTTACCATTCTGATCGTTTCTTGCTCTCGACGTAAGCATCGACACTTGACTGCTTACACCTCTTTGTTCTTGCTCAATATCTCGCTTGTTTAGGCCTGCCATCGCCGGCATTGTTGCCGTTCTTCATGCGTGCTTGGATATGAAAGCCATCATCCTAGGGAAGTACCACTACGTTCTCTACTATCTCGTTCTAGCAATGCAGGTAAAATTGCTCATGTCCTTTTTTCTTTGTTCTGGGGGAGGTAACGCTGTCTTTCTTCCTTTTCTCCAGCCTAGGATGCTCATGACTGTAGACGAGAACTTAAAGCCACTGCCTGTGCCCGTTCGAGTGGGAATTGCTGTGGACACAGTCGGTCAGGCAGGGCGGCCCAAGAGCATAACAGGATTCCAAACGCACACCACTCCAGTTCTTCTTGCGACCGGTGAAAGAGCGGAGCTTGCCACTGAGAAGTAAGCTCAAAGAGAGATTTCTCTTTTTCTCTCTTGTTCTTCTCTAAGCGTCTGTTCTTCCAGGTACACACCCCTTTCATCTGTGTTGGAGGGATTCGTGGTTCTTCGTGAAAATCCAGACTACGTCGAGGACCACCTTAATTGAGAAAGAACCAAAGTTTTCGCTAAACATGGCCAGTTTTGTCAAAATCGACGGCCATCTAAAAATCTTCGTTGGCGCTTTATTTCAAATTTTAGGGCTAGAGTTTAGGGCGGGGAGAATGGAGGAGCAAGAGCGCTTCGATGTGGAGTACCTCAAGAGCACGGTCGCGGAGGTTCTCGCGAAGGGGTGCGCGGCGGTGGTGGCGGCGGAGCCCGGCGATCCGGTTGCGTATCTCAGCCTTTGGCTCCACAAGTACGTAGACAATGTGGAGGTTTTGGAGCGATTGAAGAGGGAAAAGGCTGTGGAGAAGCAGCTAGAAGAGGACCAAAAGGCCGTGGAGGTCGTGAGGAAGGAGCGCCTGGAATTCTCCAAATCATGGAGGGAGGATACTCTCAAGGCGTTGCGAGGGATCAAGAATGATCCTTATCTCTTGTGGAAGTCCACATTAGAGGCCATATCAATTTTCACTGGTATGCTTTCTCTCTTTCTTTTCTTCCATCTCTTTCTTCCTGCTTGCTGTTTTCTTTCTTGGAACTGAAAGGACTTTAGAATGCGTTTGCTTTCATAGCTGTGTCCAAACTTTGGAGACTTTCTCCCGTTTTTCTTTCATTGTTTCTGATAACGTCAACATCTTTTTGTTCCGAAACAGGTTGCAGCTCTGCCTATGTTGCAGCAGTCGCTGAGAAGATGTGGGAGCCTAAGCCAGATCCAAAACCAGAGGGCGAAGAAGGTGAGGAGGGTGAAGAGCCTCCGCCAGAAGAGGAAGAAGAGGAAGAGCCGGAGCCCGAGCCAGAACCAGAGGAGGAAGAGGAAGAGGTAGCTGAAGAAGGCGGCGGAGAAGGCGGAGCTGAGGGTGAAACGCCAGAAGGTGGTGAAGCTCCACCGAAGAAGAAAAAGAAAGAAAAGCCTCCCAAGCCAATCAACTACAAGAAGAAGATATTGATCTACACTGCTGCTACTCGAAGGAGCTTGTTTATCCTCAACAAGCAATACAACAAGAAGAAGGTAGCTAATGAGTTTGGAGCTTGGATGTCTTCAACTTTGCGTTTATTTCTTCAGGGTCCTGTAACTTTTAGGATATTGTTGGAACTACTGCCTCAACTGCACATCCCGAATGTGTTGTACCAAGAAAGTATGTGAAAGCTAGTTGTTTTTTTTTTTTTTTTTTTTTTTTTGAGAGAGAGAGAGAGTTTAATTCGTGCCACGGTGTCAAACAATCGTGCAGACATGCAGTTCTTCGGTGCTGTTCCAAGGCTGGGCGCTTATTTTGCAGTTCCATTGGTTATCAATACAGTCCCTCCTGAGGTTGTATCTCTCTTGCAATGCTCCACATTTTTTATAGTTAATATGTTTCCAGATCGTGGCCATATTGTGCGCGGACACGTTGAAAGGAGACGAGTATGGCACTGCGAAACCTTTTGACGATTCTGAGAGGGACTTCATTTCAAGAGCTGCTACAATCTTGGGGAAAGTGCTGGCCGAAAACCACGTTGAAAACATAAAAGACTACAAAACTGAGGAACTAATGGCCCAACTCAAAGAGAAGCTGAAGCAGATAGAAGTTGACAGAAAGGCGGCCTTGAAAAAGGAGAAGGCGGAAAAGCTGGCTGCAGAGAGAGCTGCAAGGAAAGCTGCTAGAGAGGCTGCTAAAGAGAAGGCCAAGGCAGAAGGTAAGGATGAAGAAGAACCGGAAGAACCGGAACCGGAACCGGAGCCAGAGCCAGAACCAGAGGCTGCTGAAGAAAAGGGTGGTGAAGGAGGTGAAGCTGAAGAAGAGGAAGAGAAGGAGGAAGAGGAAGGTCCTCCTGAGGAAGAAGCATCACCAGAAGAAGAACCAGAACCTGAAGAGCCAGAAGAACCCGAAGAGGAGCCACCAGAAGAAGAGTCTCCTGCCGAGGGTGAAGTTGTCGATGAGAAGCAAAAGCTCTTGAAGACTTTACAGCGGGACATTGCGAAAGCTAAGAAGAAGATTGAAAAGCTCGAGGCAAAGAATGCCAAAGCCAAGGAGGTTATGGAGAAGAAGGCCGAGACTGTTGCAAAGCTGGAAGACGAGATGGCTGTATCTCAGTCACTTTTGGGCCACTTACAAAACTTGCTGGGTGGTGTGATGGAGCTTATCAACGGAATTCAGGTATGTTTGAATACATACCAATCGTGATCTCATACTTGCTTTCAGGACGTTGAAAGAAACCGTATCATACGGTGGTGCTTTCCTCCTACAAATGTCTATCGTGTTTTGAAGGTCTGCAATGATCAATGTCATTGATGAACGTCTGATTATGTCTTTCATGCAGGGAATGCTCCATATTCTTGGACACGAAAGGAACGTTGTGGACTGCTGGGTAACCGCGCGCGAAAGTTTCAAGTGCGACTTTTTCAAAGTTAGTTCTCCCCGCCCCAATACATTTTAAAAGCTAGCACCACCAAAATGTGAGTCCTCGGATGCAATGTGCTAAGAACGAGGATGCACGAACGTCGTGCTAATAACACTTGTGCAGGAGCTACAAGAATACGATGCACTCAAGGAGGACAACCTGGACAAATGGAAATATGGCAAGAAGTGCTTGGATGTAAGCTTGTCCTGGTTTGCTCTAATCGAAAAAAACAACACTCAACCTGCTTGCAGGAGCTCAAGGACGACATGATGAAGGCAGACCCTCCTATGGGATTTGTAAGTTCCTACCTCTAAAAAGAGGTGTTTTGCATTTCTCTGATGCGAGCCACGACAGCTTGGGAGGCGCTGGCTACTTGCTGTGAAGAAGTTGATGACGGCAGGCGTCAAGCATAAGAAACTCACTCGAAAGACTGAAGCTGCAACGCTGGTATGTACTCTAAGAACTCCCATCGTCCGTGAGACATCTAGTGGCTCTTCCTTTTCAGGTGTTCGCTGAGGCACAACTCAAACAATTGGTTGCAGAGATGGATTTAAAAGTGGTTCAGGAGGAGGATGCCAGGCTGACTGCTGAAGAGCAGAAGGTGCAAGCTGACATCGAGGCAGACAGAATTGCGAAAGAAGGAGCTGCTGCTGCTGCTGCTGCTGCTGCTGGCGGTGAAGCACCTACGGAAGGGTGAAATGGGGACTTATAAGGACAAGGGGGAGGATTTTGGGGACATAATAAAAGGTGGCGGACCACGGATCCTTTTCTTAATGCTGGGCAGAAACATATTGGTCGGAGTTTCGCTATTACTGTTGCTGCTGCTGCTGCTCGACCACAGTCCGGGCGATAGGGATGAAGGTGGAATCCACTTCGGAGAATCGGGTCCTCTTGAGAATATTATCCAAGGGAAGAGGACAGCAGTGTGCTTGGTTGGAGAAGCACGTCACTTGGAGCTCACGGGGCCGAGCATCCGCAAATACGTTCTCGAGACTCTGAAGAACAGCAGCGTTTTCATCAACATGCCCCTGGACAGCAACTCATACAAAATGTTCGTGCTCGATGGCGGCGGTGGATCTTACAACTTCACGTCGGCAAACATCTTCTCGCCGCAATACATATGGGAGACAAAGGTTTCCAGAGAAACCTTGACAGCCAAAAAGTCGCCCCGAGCGCTCCAAGGCCTGCTCCAGTACTTCGCCTTGAACGAAGGCTGCGAGACGATGATCCGGCAGCAGGAGGAGCTCCAGGGCTTCAAGTACGACTGGATCGTCAGGACGCGGCTGGATACGTTCTGGACAGCCCCGATACCCGTGGAGTACCGAAACTCCACGTACACAGTTCCTCGCGGGACGAGATACGGTGGCTACAACGATCGACTGGGTGTTGGGGACAGGAAAACGAGCAGAATCGCGCTCCAGCGTCTCTCCGCGTTGCCGCTCATCCACTCGGCTGGCTACCGGAGCGAGAACTCAGAGTCGGTCTATAAAGCACAGCTCAAGGTTGGGAACGTGAAGGTGGCGGAGGACGAGTTTTCTTTCTGCGTGCTAAGCAACCGGAGCTTTCCTTACCCGCCAGGAAGGCACGGAGCGCTCGTAGCTTCGATCCAAGGCAAGGGGCCGCTGAACGGAGCGTACTGCCGGCCGTGTAGGCCGTCCGAAAGCTCCAGCCGGTCTCGGGAGATGGTGGAGAGGATGGTCGACGCTTGGATTCCCAGCGAAGCCGCGGAGGTGGAAGTGTGTGACGGATCTGGGGGCTGGAAAGCGGGCTGGCCGGAAGTGTTTGATGCCGTGGCCGGGGAGGAGGCGGCCGCATTGAGGAAGGAGAGCGATGGCATGAGCAAGGCCGAGTGCGTTTCGAGGCTCGCGAGATTCAAGGACCGATGGAGCTCCTGGAAGGGCCCGAGTACTACGTTGATCTGCGAGCTAATGGACCGTTGACTTTTCTTGTCCGTTGACCTTATGGTGAGTCAGTAGTGTCTGAAAATATCGACACGGTCAAGCCGTTGAATTTCACAATGGTCAATTTTGATCCAAACGATCTCCACGGTCATTTGCGTACATGGTGTAGAGCAGAACGTATGGCGCGGACTTTAGCGTGGTGAGCTTGGAGGCTCGCTTGGCCGCGTGGGATCCCCGGCCAACGTCGTGGTGGAGCTTGCAAGATCCCACCAGCGTCATCCAGGCAGCAGAGTCCGGGGTGTAAGGCATGGATTGGACGAGCTCCTGGGCCTTTTCGAGATGCCCCGAGCGTCCCATGACGCCCACCAGGCACCCGAAGTGTTCCATCGTCGGGACCATCCCTCGGTCCTGGATCATCGATCCAAACAGGCTCCGGCTCTCGCTCAGCAGGCCGAGGTGACTGCAAACGCTGAGAATGTCGACGAAGGTTATGTCGTTGAGGCTCGAGGCTTCGAGATCCATGTCGCGGAGGATCTCCACGGCGGGGGAGTAGCGTCCGTTCAGTGCGTACACGGAAACCATCGAGTTCCACGAGACCTCGTTGCGCAGCGGCATGGAATCAAACACGAGTTTCGCGAGCTCCACCTCCCCGATCTGTCCGTACATGGAGATCATGCTTGTCCAGGAGACGATGTCTCGCACGGTCATGCTGTCGAAGATGCTCTTGGCTTCGTGGAGGTGGCCGTGGTAGAGGTGGGCGACAATGAGAGCCGTCCACGACGCCTCATCCAGGCGCTCCATTCTGGTGAGGAGCTTCTCGGCCTCGACGAGATACCCTGCCTGGGCATATGCCGCGATTAGGACGTTCCAGGAGCTCGTGTCCCTCTCGGGCATGGTATCGAAAATGGCGCGCGCTTGCTCCAGATGCCCATGCTGCGAATATCCAGTCAAGATGGTATTCCAGGTCACCATGTTGACTTTGATAAGAGAGTCAAAGAGTTTTCTTGCCTCGTCCATTTGGCCTCTGAAGGTATATGCCGCCACCATTGCCGTGGAGGCCACCACGTTGTGGAAGGGCATCTTTTCAAAGAGTTCGCGCGCCCTGTCTGGCTCCCCGTTATGAGCGTATGCCTGGATCATGGCGGTCCACGTAACGAGATCGCGCTCGGGCATGGAATCAAAGGTCTTTCTTGCTAAAACGAGATGCCCAGCAAGTGAATAAGCTGTGATCACGCACGTCCAGCTGATAAGATCCCGTTCAGCCATGGCTTGGAACAAATGCAGCGTTTTTTGTAGTTGATTATCTTGTGCAAAGGCATCCATGATCGCGTTCCAGGACGAAACATTGTGTTCTGGCATAGAATCAAAAAATAGCTCCGCTGATTCCAAATGCCCGTGCTGGGCAAATGCCGCAAGAAGAGCATTCCAGGATATAATATTTCTCTCGGGCATTAGATCGAAGACGACCTTTGCTTTTTCAATCTCTCCCTCTTGTGCATAGGCACCAAGGATCGCTGTCCAGGAAACAAGGGTTCTCTCGGGCATAGATTCGAAGAGCTTGCGTGCTTGGGCTAGATCCCGGGCCTGGGCATACGCGGTGAGGATTGTCGTCCAGGAGATCACGTGCTGGAGAGGCATGCCATCGAACAGCGAGCGCGCATCGTCGATCCATCCGTTCTTGGCGCACGCCTCGATCACGATGTTATATGAGAAGAGGTTAGGGTTCTTGATAGCGTGAAAGGTTTCCAACGCCAGTTGGGGGCTGTGGCACTTCCCGTAGGCCTCGATCATCAGATTGCTGAGGTATCTGTCCCCTCTCTCCCGGATTTTCAGATCGATCGCCCGCGCGGCGGCAAAATCCCCCACATTTCCAATGTCCCGCAGTGATTGGGAGAGAGCGACTTGGTCGAGAACTCTCGGCTCCATGGCCAGGCATTCTAGCTGTCAATAATTTGTTCTCCTCCGGCTCTAGTTCGTGCTAGCGGCGAGTCCAATCATTTGGTTGAGGCAAGATATCTCGCCAATCTACTGATCGAGGCGTATGGAAAATGCGAGTGGCCCGTGGAGGTTCAAGGCTAATAAATTCTGCATCCTTTGTTTGTAATACTATTGACTTTTAAAACAAAAGACCAATTATATTTAAGCCTTTATTTAATTTTCAAATTCTAATATTTTATTCTTTCATAAAAATGGTTGAATGTGAAAACTAAAACAAAATTTATCAATAATTTTATTTTTAATTTTCTTTACCTAACATGAGTTATAAAATTTTAAAAAATAGATTTTTTTAATTATTTAAAAATATTGATAAAAAAACTTAATAGAAAACATTATGCACTATACACATACAATCCTTGTTATAATTAATAAAACTATTTATCATATTTGTTATATATATATATATATATACACACACACACACATAGTTAAATTACATTATTTATTGCTTTCCAATCGAAATCACAATTCTTAACAAATACTTGAAAATTTGTTTAACAGCATTCTAATAAACTTCTCCTAGATTCTCGAGAAATGTTAATATAAATTTTCTAAATCTTATAATTTTACTTTAAAACTGTAATTTATTCCAAAATAATAACTATATTATTTTTAAACTCAAATACATATGTTTGTGATTTTTAAATTTTTTCTTCTATCAATTGCATAAGCTGTCAATTGTTTATAAGGTTTTATTCCTTTGATCACACATTTGATATAAGAAATTGAATAAAATCAAATTGTTATATTAAGTTATTACTATTTCTGAGTTTGTAATCAGTAAGCAAGAAAGACGTTTGATTCTATGCCGAGTGTGTGCAGCTCATTCAACTGATTGAGATGTTTTCCATAGTTAGATATCTTGTGCAAAGGAACCATGCATTTCTCCCATTGTGCTCCGCACTCCAAGTTGTCGTTTCGCCGAGTGGATGGAAAGACACGACATGAGTGGATGGTTTTGCTTATTTTTGTATCCTATACATGGAGAGAGGCATACGAATCAATGTTAGAGATTCTCGATCTGGATCTCCAGATCGATTGCCCGCGCGGCAAAATCCCCCGCATTTCACATGTCCCCAAGTGACTAGAATTCTCAGCTCCATGGCCAGGCATTCTAGCTAAGTTATGAGCGGCAATACTTCCACCAATTTCGCCCCACTTTCGCCTCCTCGGGCTCGATCCTCTTCTGGCACTGCCGACGATCTCGCCCGGAGGATCCGTGCCAGCGGCGAGTCCAAGCATCTGGCTGAGGCAAACCGACTGGACGCCGAGATCGCAGTAAGCAGCGAGCATCGCCGGGACAGATATCTCGCCAATCTACTGATCGAGGCGTTTGGAAAATGCGAGTGCCTGGCATCCGCGCGGAGGGTCTTTGACTCGATCGATGAGCCAAACATCTTCTCATGGAGCATCATCATCTCCGCCTATGCCCAGAATGGGCAAGTGGAAATTGCGAGGGACTTGTACGAAGGAATGCCTACTAAGAATGTGATCTCCGGGAACGCGCTCATAGCGGCATATGCCCAGAGCGGGAATATCCAGGCCGCCACGTCGATGTTTCGCCTGATGACTCAGCGCGACATTGTGACGTGGAATACCCTGCTGGCTGCATATTCCCAGCAGGGGCATCTGGCAGATGCGAAGAGAACCTTTGGTTCTATGCCCGAGAGAGATGTAGTATCGTGGACGACAATGCTGGGAGTCTACTGTCAAGATGGGAATCTTGAGGGATCCGAGAGAATCTTTAACTTGATGCCTGAAAAGAATATTGCCTCGTGGAACGCGCTCTTGGCCGCATATACCCAAAACAGGCATCTTGATGGTGCTAAAGAGACGTTTGCTTTGATGCCTTATAGGAATCTCGTGTCGTGGACGACGCTAATGGAGGCTTATGCAAAATCCGGGAATCTTTCAGACGCCAAGGAGACGTTCGACCAGATGCCGGAAAGGAATCTTGTGTCGTGGACCGTCATCCTGCTAGCATATGCCCAGCTTGGGCATATGGACAATGTCCGCGAGATGCTGGATGAGATTCCCCAGACGGACTCGGTGCTCCTGACTGCCATGATCACCTCATTTGCCCGCAGCGGGCATCTGATGGAATCCAAAGACATCTTCTTCGGCAGGATGAAAGGGTGCAAGAGCCTCGTCTCGTGGAACGCAATGCTGGACGCGTACGCGCTGAACGCGTGCTACGAGCAAGCGCTGAAGCTGCTCGAGTTCATGAGCTGGGAGGGCGTCCGGCCCGACGCCTTCACCTTCGTCACCATCCTCACGGCGTCGAGCCACCTGGGCGAGATCGAGAGGTGCAGAGAGGCTTTCGTCTCCATGGCGCAGGATCACGGGATGACCCCGGAGCTGGAGCATTACAGCTGCATGATCGACATTCTTGGGCGCGGTGGGCGACTTGACAAAGCCGAGGATCTCATCCGAAACATGCCGTTTCAGCCCGAGCCGGTCCTGTGGCTCACTCTGCTGGCTGCGTGTAAGATGCACGGGGACTTGGATCGAGCAGCTCGCATTGGAGAGGAGGTGTCGAGGCTGGATCCTCAGCGCGGATCTACGTATCTGCTGCTTTCAAGTGCCTTTCAAAAAGATAGTTGTTCCACATAAAACTCCACTCTTTTCTTATCAATAAGAAGAGTGTCTTGCTGCTACTATCAAGTTGCCACTATACTTATAAATGGATAGATGAAAAGATGCAAGACTTTAAAAAGAGAGTATCTAAGCTTTGATGATCTCAGGTCATATGGTACTGCATTGCAACAGGTGATTCGTTCCAAAGACATCTGTCGAGCAAAATCAATTCATGCAAAGCTTCAGGACAAGCAGCAAGATGGAAACACATTCCTTGGGAATCTCCTGGTGCAAATGTACGGAAGCTGCGGCAGCATTCAGGAATCGAGGCTGGCCTTTGATACCATCCAGCGGAAAAACGTCTTCTCATGGAACATCATGGTGTCCGCATTTGCCCACAATGGGTATTTGCAGGAAACTATGGCGGCCTTTGGAAAAATGCCCTCACACAATGTTGTGTCGTGGAATGCAGTGGCGGCAGCGCTGGTTCAGAGTGGGAGCTTGGAAGACGCACGGCAGGTGTTCTTGAGGATGCCCGAGAAAAACCTCGTGTCATGGAATGCTCTTCTTGGTTTACATGCCCAGGCAGGGCATTTGGTGGACGCGAAGCAGATCTTTGATGAGATGCCCCAAAGAGACGTTGTATCATGGAACACCCTTCTGTCAACCTTTGGACACGACAGAAAACAACATTCTATTGATTCCGCAATGCTCGTGTTTGATCGAATTCCGCAGCACAGCGTCGTAACTTGGAATTCAGTGATTACCGCGAATGCCTTGGCAGGACATCTTGACACTGCCAAAGCTCTGTTTTTTGGAATGCCGGAGAGGGACGCTGTCTCTTGGAACTCCATCGTTGCTGGTTTCGTGCAAGGCGGGCGGATAGCCGACGGCAAGATCATCTTCCGGAGAATGCCATTCCAGGATCTTGTATCACGGAACGCTGTGGCAGCGGCAGATGCGCTGGAAGGGGATCTTTGCTTTGCATTGCGGCTGTTCGAGCAGACGCGCAGCGCGATCATGGGCACGGCGCTCATCTCCGCCTACACCGCCTCCAATCGCCTCGAGGAAGCGCGCAAGATCTTTGCGATGATCCAAGACCAGGACGTGATTTCCTGGACGAGCATGATCGCGGGCTGCGCAGCGAACCAGCAGCTGGGCGAAGCGAGGCTGCTCTTCGATCGAATACCGCAGCGCGACACCATCTCCTGGACCTCGATGATCGCATCCTACGCTCAGGCCGGGGACCTCCAAGAATCCATGAGCCTCTTCTCCGCGGCGCCCCACCGCGATGGCGTCTCCTACAATGCCATGATCCAGGCCTACGTCGTGAGTGGCAAGCTCAATCAAGCCCGGGCGTTCTTTGAGCAGATGTGCGTGGATGGGCAGCACAATCCCGGATCCTGGAACACGATCATCGCGGCATACTCTCAAATCGGCCAGAGCCAGGAAGCGCTGAGAATCTTTCGCCGAATGGATCTGGAGGGCGTCCCAGCGAACGGCATTACCCTGATTTGCGCACTGGATGCTTGCACCAGCATCGCGGCGCTGGAGCTCGGCAGGATCATCCATGCCCACGCCATTGCCGCGCGGCTCTTCCGCGACGTTGGCGTCGCGACGCAGCTCATCGACATGTACGCGAAATGCGGCAAGCTCCGCGACGCGCGGCGCGTCTTCGATAAAATGGAGGAGCGAAACACACTGACGTGGAACACGGTTATTGCGGCGTACCAAGGCCATGGTCAGAATCCGTGCGACCGTACAGGTCACGTTTTGGGCCTCTTTCTGGCCATGGTGAGCGAGGGATTCGAACCCAGCGACGTGACAATGCTTAGCGTGATCTCTGCGTTTAGTCACGCTGGGCTCTTGGAAGAGAGCTCGCATTACTTTGTTTCTAGCTCCTGGGATTTTGGAGTGGCGGTGAAGCTCGATCACTACCAGTGTGTGATTGATCTCTTGAGCCGGCTTGGAGAGCTGGGGACTGGCGAGGAACTCGTCGAGAGAATGCCGTTTGAACCCGACTTAACTGCGTGGAAAACGCTGTTAAGCGCATGTAGAGTTCATGGAGATTGTGAACGAGCTGTGAGAGCTGCTGTGAATATTTTGGAGCTTGATCCGGACGATGGTTCTATTTATGCACTATTGGCTAACACCTACACATCCGATTTGGAGTTAAAAACTTCAAACCAAACATTGCATTAGATTCCTTGTGGATAACATTTTCAAATATTTCTTCACTCAATCCTCAAATGTCCATGAGACTTGTTTTTGGTGTTCTTTATCATGCACTATAGAAGTGTTATAAGTTACATGTCACATTAGTACATTTATCATTTCAGAAGAAATGTTCCATAATGCATAAAGAATTAATGTCACTACAATGGATTAATGTTTTTATTACATCTTCTCAATAAGGAGTAGAAAAAAAATAAAAAATAAAATGCAAATTAAATAATTGTAGAGTTAAATGATCTATAATTTATAAAGAAAAGATTAATCTTATTTCAGAATATACTAGAATATACTAGAAAGTGTTTATGAAGTTTTTAAATTATAAAAACAAGATTAATAAAAATAAAAATTATGCTTATATAATAGCTAAACTACTTTATATAAAGGGATTATAACAAATTACAAGATCTATTAATGCCTCATTTTTATATTCCTCTAGATCCCAGCCTTTTGATAAAAGAACATTAACTGCTTTCTATCTTTCCCATAAAAGTGGATGGAGAGTAAATATATATATGTATATATATGAAGCATTGTAAGAAAGTCAATAATATATATATATATATATATATATATATATATATATATATATATATACCAGTAATATCTCATTATTAAATACAGTCAAAATGTTATATAAACTTTTACTATATAAGATTAAGTTTATAAATTAGTGGAAGTTAGTATTTGAATATTGAGCTATGAATTTGTACAATTTGATTGGTTTGCTGATTTTAAATAATATATATTATTCATATTTATTTTAATATTAATATATTTTTGTGATTGCATAGAATATAGAATTATCATATTAAATTAGCCCAAAAGTCCTACCTTATATATTTGATAGCTACCAAAATACCATCAGATATTTTTTATTTTGTATTTTTACTTTTTTAGGAATGACAAAATTTATTTGACACATAATGTTAGTAGTTTCTTTAAATATGGTATTAAAAATATAGCTTAAAATTTAAAATTATTATAATACTTATGCTCTAGGTACTTGGAATTTTTGTTTATTGTAGATCAACATTTTCAATTCTTTATTTAGTAAGACATAAAATATTCTATAAACTTTAGAAAAACTAAATACATAAGTGCTAATTCAATGTACATACTTTTAAAATATAAAATTTAACAAGATACTAAATAAACTCATATAAAATTTTAATCTTTATTATATATATATAATATTTTTTAAATGTATTTTGATTTGATATAGTCTTACAATATACTTAAATATTAAAAAAATATTAAATTTTTTCAAATGAGAAATCAGCAAGTTTGTGGCTAACAAGTAGCTGGATGTCGTGAAAGTTAACATGCTCTAGTTGAGCGTGCCAGAGCTATTTATTAAAATGTATAAATTATAAAAAAACATTAAAAAAATTAGAAACACATTGTTTTGGGAAGAGATAAGTATTCATATTAGTTTTTTAAAAGCTTGAAAGCATTTTATTTTTGTGAGAAAGAATATTCTCATTATTTTTTTCTTTAAAAACTTTTAAAAGATGCAAAATAAAAATAAATTAATATTCCTAGCTTTTAAGCATTCTCTATACACTCAGCAGCATCTACCCAATTAAGTCAGGGCATTCTCATACAGCATGTCACAGCATCTGACATACACAGCATCTACGATGTCAATCGGCAAGTTCCCCACTAATCTCCACAATCACGCACTCCCTTAGTATTTTCTTGGAATTTTTTTCTAAAAGCGTGAATATTATAACTTACGGTGAAATATCTAACTGCGAAGTGATAGCGCTCGGCGATCTGGTGGTGGACATGGCCATCGCTACCGTAAAGACGGTGGATCTCGACCATAAAGACGGTGGCGGTGGATCTCGACGATGTTTTCTTGTTGATTTGTAGCTTTTTATTTGGGCGATCAGACAATAAGGTCGCAGTCGAGAGTACGAAACAAGAATTCAATCTCTTCGGCACGAACGCTTTCTAACTGAGAAGGCTGCCACTTTGGTTTCTGGAAGACAGTATAAGCTCAACGGTGAGAAGAGAGTAAATTTACCTGGTCCTTGTCTACTAGAACAGCTCGAACTCCTTCAAAGAAGTCATCTCGAACGGCAATTCGAAGAGCCATACGATACTCCGACTTCATTACGTCCTCAATCTACCATAATTTCACGAACATTAGATAACGAAAAAAAGAAAGCACAAGCATACCTGTGCGGATGGATTCAAAGCCACTGAGGAGAAATGCTTGTGAGTGGCTTCCAGACTGAATGGTGCGGCCTTTTGAATCCCCGCGAGAGCAGCTTTTGCCCACTCGGCAACTGGAAGGAACAACGTAAAAAAGCTCAGAACAATACTAAACTTCTAGACCTTTCGCATCCGAAGAGTGCTGCTCTTTCTCCAAAGCCGTTATTGATTCGGAGACCGATTTATCTGGACCGAAAGCTGAGGATATGCGAGGCAACAGCGTCTTGAGCTGGGCAGGAGCTTCAGGTTTACCGCCGAAAACTTTGAGGGCATCTTCCACTGCTTCAGAAGCATTGGACCTTATCGAATCAATGTTAACATAGAACCATCCAAAAAGTGAGAAGCTTCTTACAAGTCCTTGGCCAGAAGAGATTCCTTCAACGATGACAAGTTCTCCGAAGGCACGAAATGCGTTCCCAGTCCCACAAAGAGAGCATCAGCAGGTTCATTGACTCGCGCACCGGATAAACCGAGATAAGTTCCTACAATCTCAAGCTATTTCACATCCACAAGGAAAACAAAAGGACAAACAATCTTTCTACGAAACTCACCTACAGCTCCATTTGCAGGAGTTCGAGCTGCTATATATGCAAAACCAACGTCTGGAAACAAGCCGATTCCATTCTCAGGCATGGCAAGAACCGTCCTCTGATCACAAAAAAACGCAAAGCTTAGCTTCGAAACGAGCCACCACAGACCTCGGTAATCACGCGATACTTGCCATGGCCCGACAAGCCGATGCCAAAACCCATGGTTATCCCGTCCATCAACGAGATGTAAGGTTTTTGGTAGCGAGCAATCGTGCAGATTAAGCTGTACTCAGCTGAGAACACCTACATTAGAAAACAACGAGATTTGTCAGCCTCAGAAGTTGATAGTGCATGACTATCAACTAGGATAGACAAATAGGAATGGAAAAGAAGGAAAAAAAGAAAAGAAAGGAAACAATGCAACCTTGACAGCCAGTTTATGCATCCCAAATAACTTGCAGCCAGTGGTGGTCATCCACTTTACATCTCCTCCGGCATTTACTCTTGTCAAGAAAACAAAATTTAAGCTCTAGACTAGACATGGTGCATGAAAAGCTTTTCCTATGGAAGTCTTTCAAAGCAGGCAGCCTGAGAGACACCCTTGAAATTCACACCTGTTGCAAGAGAGGTGAATGGATGTCATCTTTTAGAGTCGCTGCGAGCCACTTCACATCCATTCCTGGATAAGGATTAAGTAGTGAAACAGGCAAAAACGAATTCCGTCGTCTAAAGTTCTACCTGAGAAGGAACTTTGATCAGGACTTTACCTGCGGAGAATGCGCGCGACGAGCTGCTTTCCACAAGAACGGCCTTCACAGCGGGATTCGCTGCCCATTCGTCAAGATAGTTCTTATACGCCACATCCATGTCTGATCAAGAGATTTCGATGAGAGAGCTGGAGAATGTAGCTCATAAAAACCCAAGAAATTTCTGGAGTACCTAGATTCATCGCGTTGAGCGCCTTGGGCCGATCAAGCGTGAGCACAGCCAGGCCATTCGGCGAGACGCTCCCTCGAACGAACTCCATAGCCTAGCTACAAATCACAAACCCTGGAATCTAAATTGTCTGCCTGCCATGTGGGTATAACATAAAGTAAATGCCCGGGAATATCCCGATTTTGAAATTTAAAAAGCATGGATTTTGCCGCCGTGGAGCGGCTCATCAGATGCGAACCACTCCCGCGAGCCCGGGACATCGTCCAGTCCGTACAGAGAAAGAGCCCTACTTCTGGCACATACCTGGCCAATCTCCTGGTCCAGCGGTACGGCCGATGCGGCGACATCGATCAGGCCTTGAGGATCTTCCAGTCGATCGAGGCCAAGGACTCCTTCTCATGGAATCTGATGCTAGCGGCATATGCCCAGAATGGGAGACTCGAGGAGTCCGAGAGCTTCTTCTCGGCAATGCCACACAAGGATCTAGTTTCGTGGACGACGATGCTATCGGCCTACTCAAGCGATGGCAAGCTCGACGATGCGCGGTGGATCTTCGATCAGATGCCACACAGAAGCATCGCGTCGTGGAACGCGATGCTTACTGCGTATGCCGTGTCGGGGCATCTGGAGGGTGTTAAGTTGTTCTTTGATTCCATGCAGAAGACCAACATGGTTTCGTGGATCACGCTTCTCAACGCGTACACGAAGCTGGGATCTTTCAATGAAGCTAGAGATATCTTCAACTCCATGCCCGATCGGAGCCTGGCCGCCTGGAACTCGATCCTCACGGCTGCTGCTCACAAAGGGGAATTTGCTGATGCCGAGGATATTTTTCTGAGACTGCTGCCATGCCGGGACATCAGGTCATGGAACTCGATGCTCGGAGCTGTAGCGAAATCACAAAGTATTGCAAGAACACAGGACTTTTTTCATAGCTCAATGCCGGAGATGAATATAATGTCGTGGACTACAATGCTCGCGGCATTGGCCAACAATGGGGATTTCGGTAAGGCTAGCGCTTTTCTTAACTCCATGCCCGTCTCAAACATCGTCTCTTGGAACTCCCTTCTTTGCGCTTCCACAAAAGCTGGAGACTACGTAGGATCAAGTAGAATATTCGATGCAATGCCAGAGCACCACCTTCCCTCGTGCAATGCGGTACTCGAAGCATATTCCCAGCTCGGGTATCCTCATCGTGTTAGACTCTTATTTGATTCTATGCCCGAGCGCGATATGGCGACGTGGACAATAGTATTAACGGCATATTCACAGCTACGGCATCTTGCCTTGGTAGAAGATGTCTTTAACAATATGCCTTTCCACGACCTTTTTTCGTGGACGGCTATGCTCTCAGCATATTCACTTAGTGGGAATCTTTCAAAGTGCGAGAAGATGTTTCTCTCCATGAAAAAGGTTGACTTTGTTTGTGTGAATGCTATGGTCACTGCTTATGCCCGAAACGGACATCTTGAAGAGTGCAAGTCTCTCTTTGATAAAACACCATCATCGAACCTTGTGCTGCAGAATTCAATGCTATCAGCCTTTTGCAAAGCTGGCTATATCAACGATGCCAAAACCTTGTTTGACTCAATGCCAGAGAGAGACTTGGTTTCCTGGAATTCCATCCTTGATGTGTATTGTGAAAATGGGGATTTGCAGGAAACAAAGTTCTTGTTTGACCTCATGCCCGAGAAATCAACTGTCTCGTTCAACATCATGTTAGCGGCCTATAGCCAGGGTCAACAGGTGGATTTGGCGAGGATGTTTTTTGAAACAATGCCAGAATGGGATCTTGTGTCTTGGAGCACAATGCTTGCAATGAACACACACAATGGGCGCTTTTCTGAGACAATCAAGTGTTTTGAATCCATGGCACTTGAAGCTGTAGATGCAGATCTAGTCTCCTTCACATCAGTTCTCCTGGGTTGCAACCATGCAGGAGATCTCAAAACAGGGCTCTTGATATTTTTATCCATGGGATTTGATTATGGTATAGAGAATCCAACTAAGCAGCAGTATGGTTGTGTTATTGACTTGGTGGCAAGAGCTGGGTATTTGGAAGTAGCCGAGAGTTTGATTCTTAGCATGCCTTTTGTTGCCGAAGTTTCGGATTGGATGTGTTTAATCTCGGCTTGTTGCAACCATAATCAAGGTTTTGAGGTTGGTTGTAGGGCTTACAATAAAGCAGCAGCATTGAATACAAAGGCATCTGGGTCATTTGTGTTGATGTCAAATATTTTCTCATTACAATAACTAATATTTAAACCAAAATATTATTGAATAAAGTATATTATTTCAAGGAAATATGATATAAACTATGGTGATCTCAAATTTCCCTTTCACAATTGTAAGTTCGTCTTGTTCAGCCGGCTTTGAAGAACTAACTGATGCATGGCAGTTAAGCACGACTGCGCTTTTGGTGTTCATTGTGGCTGGTAAATGCTGCATAGATTTGGTGAAGAACAGTAGTCTTGGCACAGATCCTTCATACTGGTCGTCAGATTGTCTATTCGATTGTACCCACGCAACGCCTGTCATGGCTGCTGTATAGCCAACCGGACCAATTTGTATCGTGTGTCAGCACATATTTGGGATACATGGGTGGAGCCTTCAACATTGCGAGGTAGAGCTATGGAACTTAACGAGTATCACTAATGTTTCTAGTGCAAGGAGGGATTTTGCGGCTTCTGGCCTCGTTGGAGCCAGTGGTCTCAGTGGTGGTTGTTCGTGGCCTCTTCCTTTTGGCACCAATGGAGGTTCAGTTTCGTCAAGACTCACCGATTCGGAAATGAAAACGCAGGCAATACCTTCGATTCTTTTACTACTTCGAGCTTTTGGTAGCGAACAGTGCATTTGTTTCAACTCCAAATTGCAAATATGAGGAAAACCACTTACCTTTGTGGACGACTGGAAGTCCAGCGTTTACTGGCATTTTTTAGAAAAGTGTCCGACAAACAAAGGCTCCGAAAGGCAGCAACAGCCGGATTTTCTGAAGATGGCTCAAGCAGCTTTGCAAAAACCAGAACTGGAGGCTGTTGCGGAGGTACGTATGGCTAGGATTCAATTACTACAGAACTTGCAAATTTTTTTTCCAAAGCACCATTAAAACTGCATCCCTGTCAAAGCATCTAGAAATCATAAAAATACTTGAGGGATCTTGTCATATTTAGCTATGTCATTGTGGACAGAATATCATGCTCCACGTGACAGTGCTCGGTTGTCTTCGACATGACATATTAACAGCAGCTGCTGTGTTTTTTAATTGGTCCTAATGGAAAGACGACCTGCTACTACTGGCTAAGCATGACTATGATGGGAGATCAGCAGCAAGAATGCTTCTGCTAGCTATTTATCTTCGTTACTCTGAGACTGTGTGATGGTGCGAGAGTAGAGAATGGAGAACGAAGAAGCAAAAATTTCTGGGTCAGTCAAGGCAGTTCCTGGTGGATATGGGCTTCCTTTCTTCGGAGCAATGAGAGATAGGCTCGAATTGTATTGGTTCCAAGGGGATGTTGAATTTTTCAAGAGGCGGATTGAGAAGTACAAGAGCACAGTATTCAGGACGAACTTTGCTCCGGGGCCTCCAGGTTATCAAAATCCCAGAGGTGTAGCTTTACTGGATCACAAAAGTTTCCAGGTGATGCTCGACAACAGCAAAGTGGACAAGAGCGACACCTTCTTCGGAACTGCAATGCCGAGTGTTGCATTCACGGGTGGCTATCGTGCTCTGCCATATCTGGACACCACCGAAGAGAAGCATACTTTGTACAAGCGCATGCTCATCGAGCTACTGCACGTGAAGTTCTCAAGCATGGTGACCGAGTATAGCAAGGCTTTCGCTGAAACATCTGCCACCTGGGACTTGGCCGTGGCGAAGTCTGGAAAAGCCGAGGTTGGAGACTCGAGTGGTAGAATGGTGGTGAATTTTCTCCTGAAGAGCATCACTGGGCATCAGGATCCAGCTTCCATCATTGGAAGTGATCCACACTCAACATTCCAGACATGGTCTTTCGTGCAGTTTGCAGGAACTGTTGTTGGCGTGCTTCCGCACTTTGTGGAAGAGCTGACTTACCACTCGTTCTCTCTGCCTTCGATGTTGGTGAAGTCTAAGTACGCTGCTCTGTGCAAGTTCTTCAGGAATTATGCAACCGAAGCTTTAGATCTGGCGGAGAGCAAGTATGGCCTGGACAGAGAAGAGGCTGTGCACCAGCTGGTTTTCTGCTTTGGAGTGAACGCAAGAGTGGGACTGATGAAGAAAATTCCAGTTATGGTCTACTACATCGCCAAAATGGGTCCTGAATTTCAAGCTAGACTTGCAGACGAGGTACGTTCGGCTATCAGTGAACAGGGAGGCGGTGGTTTCACTGTGAAAGCACTATCAGGCATGCCTCTGCTCAAATCAACAGTTTTAGAGGCTTTCAGGTTGATGCCATCCACATTTTTTGTCTATGGTCGTGCCAGAGAAGATATAGTCGTCGAAAGCCACGATGCTTTGTACAAAGTTGGGAAAGGCGAGCTTCTTGGTGCTCATTGGTACTATGTTCTGAGGGATCCTAAGGTGTTTGAGGATCCGCAGCGTTTCAATCCTGAGAGGTTTATGGGGAAACAAGGAGAGGCTTTGTTTCCGCAGCTGGTCTGGTCGAATGGAAGGCAGGATCAAACACCTGGTGAAAATGATAAGCAGTGTCCTGCTAAAGATTACGCTGTGATGCTCACCAGTCAGTTTGTAGCTGAAATGTTTTTGAAGTATGATGCTTTCGAGATCACTGAAGATTCTACGATTGATACAACAAGTCTCAAGGTGGCTTTCAAATCGTTGAAGAGCCGTGCACAAATTTCTTCATAAACGTGCTCAATCGATATATCCTGGCCAGTGAAATATGAAGCTTGACGGCACGTTGGTTCAATAAACAACTTATCAGTCACCTTCAGAGCATTCAACACCTGGCAAGTCTAGACAAATGTGTGTGTCTCTTCGGATAGACATCAGCCATACCAAACACTGCAGGTTAATAAGCTCATTATTTGAAACTTTTTATTGTATAATATCAATATTTAATGAGTGGTTTGATAGCTTTTGTAAGTTAAATTTCTAAATATAGCTTGTAGTTTCGATGCAACTATTATTCTTGAATCTTAATCCTTGCATTAGAAATTATAATAAAATATGGTAAGAGGGAATTAATTTCAATTAGTACAACTATAACTATTATATGGCAATCATCCTAGGTGTACCCGTTGTAAATTATACTGCAAGCTAAATCAATTAAAACATATGTCTAAGTGTGTAAAAAACCATGCAAACATGGTGTGCATTCCCATGCTTTGAAAAAAGTTACGTCTAAATTATTTTGTGAGTCACAGATGTGTTTAAACAATTCAAAAGTGGTCTGTCACCATGCGGCACCAAGGAATAGACAGGGATCTTGTGGGTGGGCCCGTGGGTGGGTGTCAAAGGCAATTGTGTTGATCTCACTTAGTGGCCTCTATTACCACTGCCTTGCTAGAACTCTTTGGCGCAATCTCAACAACACCCTTGGGCGAGATCTCTTTACATGTGCCGGCGAGATCTCTTTACATGTGCCGAAGATCAAGCACCCAGATCCCAGCCACAATTTCCTCCAAAGTCCCACCTTCAATTGTTTTGTGTCTCCATTGCCCCAAAATCTTGAGCTCAATCTCACCTCAAATTCTCTCATGAGAAGGATTAATCTTTGCATGTGCTACAGCCAAGAAAATCATAAAAAAGTCACAATGAGATTTTATAATGCTTTGCACTTGCCAAACTCTATGGATCATAGATTGAATTGAATTATTCAAAAGAAGAGGAAATGACATGGGCGTACATAATACACACAGTGATTTTTTACATAATAATTTTGTGTGCAATTGAAAAAAAAACCATTTAGATAATAAAATTGTCAGCACATTATTGCAATTTTATGAAAGAACTATCTATGAGAAAATAAAAATATTTCACTTAGAAATTGTGTGCCAAAACATGTACTTAAATTATGTTTTAGTACCTAATATTAAATTATAGTGGTTAATAAAATAAATCACAACCCTTAAAAATTTGAAATCATAAAATTCTGAAAGCCTACCCTAACCTAAAAATATTGTTAAAAGAAAAACATTTCTAAGAATATCTAGTACCATTCTTCAAGCTTGTTTCTTGATTTTGTGAGGACTGGCAACCGTCTCAGCTCGCTGGCAGGCAGCCATGGTTTTGACATGCTCAAACTCATCGCCCTACACAACATGATCCATCAGCATTTCTACAGCCTAAGCTACCAAACTTACCTTAATTGCTACGAACACATCATAAAGGCTATCCACCTTTGGTCTTCTGCTTTCAGGAGCTCGGCTTGTTTGGAATTCATCGAACCTACAATGCAAAGATCAGATTCCTATACTAAAAGACGCCTGCATTTTTTACTTACATATATAAGTCTTCGTTCTCGTAGTATGCCACAGCTTCTGGCGATGGAGGGAGTTGTTTGAGGAGTTCCTCATTCTCGTCGACAAATTGGCCGTAAGTGTCCACTGTTTGTTCGATGAAACACATAAATTGATACAATCCGTGTAAGATTGATCATTTCATACCTGCATGCATTTCTATTAGCTCTGAGAAATTGTAGGCGACTTTGGGCGAGACGAAAAACATGAAGTTCAGAATCTGCATTTAGATGACAGATATCGATTATTCTTGCTTGTGAGCCAAAATAAACATACCCAGTAATAAAAGAATGCTGCATGTTGTCCGAAGAATCGATCTCCCCATAGCAAATCTCCTCCAAGAGATTCCATGATTTTTAGATGGTGCATTTCATTCCATTCCTGGCACACCATCGTAAGTAGAATAGAAAGAGAAACTGAAAAAATGTACCTCTGCAAAATGGACTTTCCTTACATCCGCACCTACACGCCACCTACAAAAATAGTGAAGAAGATCAAGTCGCCAGCGGAATAACGCAAGCTCGTGAATACTAACCAGCCAAGAGTTTCGTACAAATGCAGCATAGAAATATATCTGTAAAGTTCGAAGTCAAGGATTCTCGGCCTTCGAAACAAAAGCCTTTAACTCAAGGATACGAAAAGTAAGGCATTCTTGCTACGGTTTCCAGAAACCAGAAGCGTTGAATTGGCCTGCCCTCAAAGATTACATCTAGCATCTGCAATCACGAAATAAGATTAGAAATCAAATGTAATCGTACCAGAGAAAAACTGCGAAGACTACAAGCTCGGAAGCAATGCATACCCAACAAAGAGCGTAATACGGACCAAGAATCCACCAGGGAGCCTCAACAGGCGGTCGATTGCGCTCCCTCTCCCAGACGGCGTCTCTGTTCAGTGTTAGCTTCGCGAGAGCTTTTCTGAGATCCTCTTGCTCCGTGTCAAGCACCTGCATGAAATACAATGAGCTCTAGCAAGCACTCTCACGCTCACTTACCAGGAGCTCTTCTTTCAGCACTGGCAATCCATCGTAAAGTTGGAGTATCTTGTCGAATCCTCTGAAAAAGAGAACAAATCCACGTCCCAAGTAAGCAGCAGCAACACCAAGTGGTTCGGAGTCTGAAAAGGCATCGTTAGAACAACCGGAGACTAAGATTTAGCTACCACCTTCTGAGATTTCAAACTCTCCAAACAGATAGCTTCGTCTCAGCGCCTGGAAGTATAGAACCAACGTGTGAAGGAGGAGGAAACAATGGACAACGGATGTAAACCTTCCATTCTCGACCAAAGTTCTCGAATGCAAGCCTGAAAAAACTCCCAGGAACACTGGGACCTTGGCGAAGGAACTTTGCCTGGAAGCCATAGTTGAACGCAATTCTCTTTGGCTTGTGCGAGTGCGTGATAGATAGATGCTCCTCGATCGCCTCCAACCTGAGCTCGCGGCTGGATTGCGCAATGGAAGACGGCGAATCATTCCCAACGCTTCCTTGAGCCCTCACAAGCAGCCATTGAGCCCTATCGTTGCGGATTTTGGTAGAACCAGGGTAAGCAAGCCGACGGAAACTTACGCGAGCGCTAAAGAAGCTGGAATCGAGGCGCCTTGATCGCCGAGCTGGAGAATGCAAGAATTTTCGATCGCTGGAGCTTGGATCAGTGCTGGCGGCGCAGCTACACAGCGCCATTCTCGCACAAACAAAGACGAGAAGAATAACGAATACTCTAGAGCTCTGATACCTTAGAACCACTAGGAACACGACGGGTGGCTTCATCTCAGCCGTTGATTCTAGGGCTCTAGAGAATATCTTTTTCTTTGGCACGAAGGAAGCGCTTTTTACATCAACGGCTGGGTCTTCTTCAAAACCACTTGGTCGTATTCCGTGAATTTCCATTGATCGATCCATCGCGAGAATGCAAAGCGCCAGAGGTGGAATCCTTAGGCTGGTAGTGCGGCGCATCTCTACTCCATCCGCGGCGGCGCCGCTCGCTTCATCGAAGATCGCCGCTGTTCTCCCAGGCAGGGTTTTCCAGTTGTTCGATCTTGGAGGTGGCGCTAGGGATTACGGATCTGTCGCAGCAGCGGTGAAAAGCGAGGAGGCCGAGGCCGATCTCCAATGCCAGGGGCAGCCGCCGGAAAAGAAAGATGAGAAGAAGGACGTGGTGATCTCCGACTACTGGGGAATCCTCCCCAAGAAGCTCGTCGACGAGCAAGGCAAGCCATGGCCGTGGAATTCCTTCAGGGTAAGCGCGATCGCATTCGTCTTTTTGGAAATTTCTTGTTTCTCACCGAGATTTTCGGCTTCTCTCGCAGCCGACCGAAGCGTATGCTCCAGATTTGACCATCGATCTCAAGAAGCACCACAATCCCGTGTCGGTGGTCGATAAGCTTGCGTACTGGACTGTTAAGACGCTGCGTATTCCAACAGATATCTTCTTCCAGGTATGCTCGCATGGCGAATTTTTTTTTTCTCTTAGTTGATGGTTTGATCTTTGAATCCAAAGAGGAGGTATGGATGCCGGGCTATGATGCTGGAGACTGTGGCTGGAGTTCCCGGGATGGTGGGTGGCATGCTCTTGCACTGCAAATCCTTGCGCCGATTCGAGCACAGTGGGGGATGGATCAAAGCTCTGCTCGAGGAGGCCGAGAACGAGCGGATGCATCTCATGACTTTCATGGAGGTTGTCCAGCCCAAGTGGTACGAGCGGGCGTTGGTGTTTACGGTCCAGGGGGTGTTCTTCAATGCCTACTTCCTGTGCTACGTGCTTTTCCCTCGATTGGCACACCGGATAGTGGGCTATCTGGAAGAAGAAGCGATCCATTCCTACACTGAGTACCTCAAGGAGATCGACAAGGGAACCATCCCCAACGCTCCCGCTCCCGCCATCGCGATTGACTACTGGCGCCTTCCAAAGGATGCAAAGATGCGTGACGTTGTGGAAGTTGTCCGAGCTGATGAGGCGCACCACCGAGACGTAAATCACTTTGCAGCTGTAAGTTTCTCCTCGTTGCTTTTTTCTTGGTAACGTGAAGTCTCTTTGTGCAGGATATTCACAAGGCTGGCAAGGAACTGCGCTCGGCCGCTGCTCCTTTGAGCTACCACTGATAAGATCCCTGAGCAAGCATGCAGAAGGAATACGAAGAGTTTACAATAAAAAAGAGGAGGTAAATACATACATGCTGCCTTTCTAACAGGTGGCAAATCTATGTCTTACTTATAGCAGCAGCTTTCTCTTTCGTTAAACTACGTGAAAGCCAAGAACAGTCGATTCGCGTCGAGGGTCAAAACAAAATAAATCCCTCTGCGACGTCGACAAATCTTTGCATTCAATAAGAAGGCTTTTCATGTGGCAAGAAAAACCAGAGGTCACGAAGATTCAAGAGCTCGCGACTTGAGTGGCCTGATCACAGTCTGGTCACAACGGAAGGGTGTCCGTGATTCATCTGAAAGCTCAGTTTTTGTTCGGCTCGGCCACAGTGGTGGCTCTTGTGATCTTGTCCTGGCGCTCTTAAATTAGATTGATCGTCGAGGGGGGCTCAAGAACAGGATCAAACAGAGCGTCACTCTGCGACTTAAGTGAAATCTCAAGGGAGGTTTTTGGCCGGAAAAGAGGTAGTACCAGACTATACAGTGGGGTGGTGGTACTCGAAAGATTCTCGCTTTTTCTCTCTCGCATTTTGGCTGGGTTCTTCCACTAGCGAGAAAGAGCTTAGAAGAAAGTCTGTGGCGTTTTGTGGCGCGCATCTCGAAGAGAAGAGCAGAGCTAAACCAGAAACATACATTGTTCTTCATAGCTAGCTCGAGCGAAGAACAGGTTTTCGATCGAGTCCCTGCGACTGCGAGAAGTTAACTCTCGGATCCATGGGCAGATTTCCTCTCCGCGGTGCTCTTGTTCTTGGGCTTTGGCTGCTCTTCCTCTCCATCACCGCTCAATGCCAAGCTCCAGCGTCATTTGTTTTTGGGGACTCGCTGGTGGATGGTGGCAACAACAACTATATCTTTTCGCTGTCCAAGGCCGACCAGCCGGCTAATGGCGTCGACTTTCCCGGCGGACGGCCCACTGGGCGATTCTGCAATGGAAGAACCATCCCGGACATCATCGGTACCGGGAAAAAATGGATTTTTTCTGCCTCTTTCTGATTGATTCGTGTGTTTGCCAGGCGAGAGTTTTGGAATTCCATACGCTCCACCGTATCTAGCACCCACAACGCACGGCGCAGCGATCTTAAGGGGCGTGAACTATGCGTCCGGTGGTGGAGGAATCGTGGACGAGACCGGACGGATCTTCGTGAGTGTTTTCAAGTTTTTATTCCTCCCTCACTTATTTCAATGCTCTTGTGGTCTCAGATTGGGAGATTGTCGCTGTCAAAGCAACTTCTCTACTTCCAAAACACCACGCGCGAGCTCAAATCCATGCTCGGCGAGGACGCTGCCCGCCAGTACCTCGCAAAATCCATTTTTTCCGTCACCATCGGCGCCAATGACTACCTCAACAATTATCTCTTGCCCGTTCCTCTCACCGGGGACTCTTTCCTCACGCCGCGCGCCTTCCAGGACAAGCTCATCACGAACTTCCGGCAGCAACTCACAGTTAAGTCCATGCAAAGTTCTCGTGATCATCTAAAAGTTGCTGCTTTCCAGACGCTTTACAACTCGGGTGCTCGCAAGATCATTGTCGCGGGAGTTGGACCCATCGGCTGCATCCCATATCAGCTCACGCTCAATCTCCGGAGGGATGGGAGTTGCGTTTCGAGTGCCAACAAGCTTGCACTGAACTACAACACGGCCCTGAGAGATCTCATCCTGGAACTCAACTCCAAACTCCCCGGATCGATGTTCTCCTACGCAAACGCTTACGACGTTGTCTGGGATATCATCACCAACAAGAAAAACTACGGTAAATTCTCATTCTTTTCTCGATTCATTCCATAGTTTTTCTCATTCGTTTCTTGATTGATCTTGTTTAAAGGCTTCGAGACGAGCGATCTAGCTTGCTGCGGGATTGGAGGGCCGTACAAGGGGGTTCTTCCCTGTGGCCCAAACGTGCCCGTGTGCAACGAGAGATCCAAATTCTTCTTCTGGGATCCGTACCACCCCAGCGATGCCGCCAATGCGATTGTGGCCAAGCGCTTCGTCGATGGCGACGAGCGAGACATTTTCCCGCGCAACGTGAGGCAGCTCATTGAAATGTGATTGATTGATCGATCCATCCATTCCATTTTTTTCCATATCTCCACTCACTGATCCTTCAATGCAATCCAGCTCCTCCCATTTATTTATTCCTTCAAAGCTCTTTTTCTTCTCTGTTTCAGGAGTAAAATTTAAAGTTTCGTTTAGCGCCGCTCGACGTCGTGTGTTCGAATCTAGGGTTTAAGGTTTTGTGCGCGATGGCGATGGCGGAGCTCGATTCTGGCGCTGCCGTCACGTCCTGGAACTACAGCGGTGAAAGAATGGCTGTGGGGTTCACCGATGGCGGCGCCGAGGTGTGGAGCAAGGGATTTGGGAATGGATCGCCTGCATTGTCGTTGGATTTCAAATGGAAGGTGAGTGCGCTTCTTTCGATGCTCTACGTAGGATTTCTTGCTTGTACGAGATGGAAATCTTTCCTTTTCTTTAGTTTCTAGTGTTGCTCGTCGGGAAGAAATTTTTTCCAGGATACTTCTTCACAGATACGCGTGTCTCTAGGCTCATGAAGGTTCCTCTATCGTGAAACTTTGCTGGGGACCGATGGAGTTCGGCGACATTGTTGCTTCTTGCTCTAAAGATGGTTCGGTTTGCGTCTGGGAAGAAATCAATGGTACGACCTTTTCTTTGCCTCGAGCGCAGCATTCTGACAATAGTTCCTTGTTTTTTCCTTATCTTTTCTGAAGAGAATGGCAAGCTCAAGTGGAGGCAGTGTGCTCAGCTAGCTGAAAACAGCTACTGTCTGGATCTAAAGTTTGGAAATTGTCTCGGCGGCTTGAAACTGGTACGTAAACTATTGGAAGTCCTTTTAGTTTTCTTTTCTGATTAGTTTTGATACAGGTTACAGCTTGTGCTGATGGTTATGCCAGGATTTACGAAACCTCGGACTGCATTGATCTTTCAAAGTGGCAGCTTCAGGTAGGCCAAGTTCTTGATTTTTCTTTCTTTTCTTTTCTCTCTAAGTTTCGGATAAAATACAGGCGGTGGTTTCGAACGCGACAGATGTGACTGAGAAGATTGGGAAGTGCTCCTGCTCTGGAGCTTCCATCTCATGGAAGCCTCCGGCTGGTTCTATCCAGCAGCCACTTTTCGCACTTGGCTACTCCACAGACGTCTCAGCATTCTCCACAACGAAGGTATAACACTGCAAGATAGTTCTCAAGCTTTGGTACTTTCACAGATCTGGGAATTCGCTGAAGAGCATAGACGCTGGTATCCCATTGCCGAGCTCTCAAATGCGGACGACAGCGTTGGAGTAAGCTCCATATCGTGGGCTCCAAATCTCGGAAGGTAACTAGCTACAAGCTTTCTATCCTTGTCATTTCTGATGTACGTCCGCTCCAGGCCGAATGAGTTGATAGCAGTGGCTTCCGGAAGCACTGTCTCAATCTGGGACTTGGAAATCGGTGGAAAGCAGGGGGTTTCCGTGCAGAGAATCGCAGAGCTAGAGCATAGCGCAGAGGTGAGCATCCAAAGCTTTAAAAAAGTGTTTTTTTTCCAAGAAAAATCTATCATTTTTAGGTGTGGCAAATCGATTGGGACATGAGCGGCATGACATTGGCATCGTCTTCCTCGGATGGAACCGTGAGGCTGTGGCAAGCTGGTTTAGATGGAGCGTGGAGGCAGCAAGCTTCACTAAGAGCTTGATAAGGCTCGTCCTCGGACAAGATTCTTGAACCAACGGCCAGGATGAGACGTGTATTCCGTTCCATAATTCACGGGCAATGTGGGTCGTTGGATCCTCTCATTTGTCGGCCTGACGCCTATTATGAAGTGAGAGCAAAGCAAGCCCTTGGCCTGGTCGGGGAGAGACGGCGGAGGCGACGACGGCAATGGTGAGTGGAGTGTGTCTCGAATCGAGTTTCTAGGGTTTATGATCTCGTTTTGCTCTTGTCTAGGGGGACGATCGCAGGCGCAGCAGGTAAATGTTTGCTCTGACGGCCTTTAGGTGTGCTCATTGCTGCGATTTCCAGATATTCGCAGTCCCCATCGCCGAGGCGAGGTCCATCGCGGAGCCCTCCGCCGCTAAAATCACCTCTCAAGTATGTTGCTGTTTTTGGTGGAGATTTCGAGCTCAAAGAGTCGGTTTTTCCAGGGAGGATCCTGACAATCCGGGAAATAACCTCTATGTCACTGGGCTCTCGACGCGGGTTGCGGAAAAGCAGCTCTTGGAGCATCTCTCGCGAGAGGGGAAGGTATTCCTCCTTAAAGTTTGGGTTTCTTCTTTGCTGTTCTTGGCTTAAAACCTTGTTCTACAGGTCCTGGAGTGTCGGATCGTGGTGGATCCGAGGACCAAGGAGTCTAGAGGGTTTGGATTCGTGACAATGGCCAGTACGGAGGATGCGGAGCGCTGCATCAACTATATGAATCGCTCCACGCTCGAGGGCCGTATAATCACGATAGAGAAGGTAAGTATCCTCTCTAAGTCTTCCTATACAAGTTTCTTCTTTTTGTTTTTTCGATTCTTTGCTACGCATGGAGTGCTGCAGCTAGAGCAAACGATGCTAATCTGGTTGCTGGTCATCCAGATTTTTCAGTTTTTTACTTCTCGGGCGGCTCTTTTTCAAGCAGCCACTTTGACTTCAGACAAATGAGCGAGCTGTGCGCTGGGCTCTGCTTCATCAGTCTTTGCCTTCTCCAGAAAAACATCAAGCATCAATCTCTCCTGATCCAACCAGTCTGCTTCAAACACCAAAAAAAAAGTCTGCTCCAAATCTCAATTCAGAAGCCCCACCTTAGCAGCATTCCCAGTTGCGAGCTGTGCGAACTTTGATGAGATGCGGTCAGTGCAGCAGTTATCAAAAATCCGAGCGTTAGAAACCAGTGACCCTCCCTTTCAAATCATGCTCCACTGGAAGTCTTTGAGGTTCTTTTCTCTGACTTGAGTTTTTTGCATTACCTACAGGAAGCGCTTTGCCATCAGCTTTTACATTTTCCATTTGGTACTGATTGCATTCTTCGATGCAGGCTAGGCGCAAGAGACCACGAACTCCTACACCTGGAGAATACCTGGGTGTCCGAGGCAAGTTTCTCGTCATTTTCTTTTCAGGAAAGAAGGATTTTGTTCTAATGTTTCTTCTGATACAGCTCCTCCAAGATCTCGGCCACCGGGTTACGGTCCACGACATCGCGAGAGAGACCGAGACAGGGACTACAGGGACTACTCCCGTAGATCACCCCGCTACTCTCCATACAGGGGTGATAGCCGCGACAGATCTCCACACGGTCGGAGCTACCGCAGGGAGCGATCCCGTTCGCCTTACTACTACCGCAGGGAACGCTCTCGCTCGCCTTACCACATGTACCGACGCTGACCACCACAAGGTTTGCAGTGACATTCTCTATTTCCATTCAAAATCCAACTGACTGGCGCTCTGGAACAGGCTTCTCTTCATTTACCTGGACACTGCTACTCTCATCCCACACTCTCAAGTTTGTACTCCAAAGAAAAAGGACATTTTTACATTACCAAATGGTGGTGGTGGTCGAGTTTTTCTCCTCAAGGTGGTGCTGGAAGTGCCGCTGTTTGGTTGCTACTAACTGGTGGTGGCACTGAAGCTTTGTCCGGGACAGTGGCAGCCGAGGCCTCCGCTTGTTGCTGCTTGAGCTTGTATCGCGGGACGAAACCTCGCTTGGAGTAAGGCGTGGTTTTTACGCACTCGAAGTAGGCCGCCGCGAACTGGGTGATCTCGCAGGATTCACGCGAGTAATTGAAGAGCTTCTTGGGTTTCACCTGAATCGGCGGAAGAACACACGAAGAGAGTGAAAAGGGATGGATCCAGATCTTTCGTACCAGAGGTTGCGAGCACCAGCCATACTCTTGCGACGCCGTCATGGGGACTTCGTACTTCTCCGGTGGTGGCATGTCGAGGTCCTGGATTGGGAAGCACGCGCCGAGAAACTTTTGCGCCTCCTCAAATTCCTGTTTGGTCACTGCAGTCTCGTATGGTAAACGTTTCTCGAGGAAGCCAGCGATGGAAGATACCTTTCCTCGACGACGTTACTTGGGTGGGCTTCTTGGTGAGCACTTCGGCTGTTTCAAAGTGAAATATTTTGCCAAGCAAGGATCAGACGGATGGAAAAGAGGAAAAAAATGCATTTTTTTGCTTGTTTTGGGCAGTTTTTTTCGGCGTTGTGAGAATGTTGGAAGCGAATGAACGAGGCGTGCAAACGAACCTGTGAGTGGATTCAGTCGGTACTCGGCAGCTTGCACCTCGACGGCCTCGAGCTTCGAATTCATGCTTTTGTAGAGATTGTCGAGAGCTACCATGTCGTCCACGACTGGGAATCTTTGCGGGCGGTGCTGCTGCCCGCGGCCTTTAGCTGGGGACGAGGAGGGGGAGGAATGCTGCTGCTTGGAGGAAGCCATGGGAGCAATCGATTGGATGATGATGCACATTCTTTTCCCCTTTTCCCCGATCCGAGTTTTTAGGGCTCCTCCTGGTTTAACCGTCCGAGGTGGAGCGGGAATATGCCATTTTGGTTTGGCGGGATAAGATTTTCGAAACTTTTTATTAGGCGAGAATCATGCACCGTCTCTAAGGACAGACATATCGACGAAGCCCAATAAGTCTTCCACGCCATGATCCTGCAGAACCAGCACGCCAAGCTCGTCTTAGACACTATGGAGAGGAGAAACTCCTCGATGCTAACGCTCTGGCCCCCTGGAGAGCTTCTTCTTGAGGCTGACCATCTTTGCACTCCAGATTATATGCCCAGGATTTTTTCTTTAAAAAGCCTGGAGACTCACAGCAAGGGCCAATGTCAGCTGCTTTGCGTTGGATTTCCACCATAGCAACGACTTGGAAAGAGGGAGCTAGATTATGATCTTTGGTAAAAGCTGTCTCAAATAAGCAAATTTAAGCCTGCTCGCGAACTCAAATGCCTGACATCGCATCGGGTTCATCTGGACTTGATCCTAGTTATGCTAATGTTTGCATATATCCTGACCTAGTGGTTTGTATTCCTACAGTTTTGCTTTGGAATTTTAATAACACAATTTCTTTTTGTGCATTTGATTTGCATGTGGAAAATAAGGACTTTACAAAGAAACTATTGAAGATAGTATTCCTTTATGCTTGTTATGTTTACCTTGAATTGGAATGGAGTGGAGATTGTTAAATAGTATATGTATGTTTACTGCTTCATGTGATTTAATGAAGATTTTTTGAATTTATTATGTATTGACTTTGATATTTATTTGTTTACATTCTTTATTCACATTATTGTACTCAGGTTATACTATTTTGAAAATCATGATTAATGATTATTACTTGAGCATTAAAGAAGGATGTTTAGACAAATTATGATAAATAAAATATTCACATTCCACATTACTTTCTTTCTACATTTACATTTATAAAATTGCTTCTACATTATCTAAATATTAATCCCAAGAGCAAAGAAAGAAAGATCTAATTTAATAGAACAATCCTTTTATTCATTATCATGATTCTCTTTGCTTAATTAAATATAAAATTTACAACAAGTAATTAATTTCCAGATATTTATACATATATTTGATATAATACATTTGGTGAGTAATGAATTTTTTTTAAAAAATTATTACAAAATACATAATAATAAAAAACATTAATTATTTTAATAATTAATTCAAACATATAACAATTTTAATATTAAATTAAATATAAAAGAATAAATTTTAAATTGTAATTCTTGACAATCCATTATTTCCCAAGTTTAGAATAATTCAAAACTTGAACTAATAAATATTTCATAAAAAATAACTTTAATATATTTTATTACAGTTGTGCTAATCAATACAATAATACTGTAATGACAAATTAATTACAAATTATAAATGATATAAATATTTGTAAATATTTAATAATCAATTCTTTTATACAGTAGACTATGAAAACTATAAATATTATAATATATCACAAAAAATATTTCCTAAATTATTTAATAATAATTGAGACTATTATCTTCTACATTTTATTTTTGTTGTATATACATCACTTAAAACAACTTACTTAGATTTATTAAAATTTAATACTTTAAAATATATCTGTATTTATGAATAAATAAATAATTTAGATTATGAGTATAGTTTTCAATATTTTTAAAAAGAAATAGATATAGTTTTAAAAATTTTAAATTTAAACATAACTATTTTACATTGTTGATTTTTTCAATTTTTGAAATTACCCAGAAACATTAAATTAAAATTTTATAGCATTAAAAGTGTATCAACAAAAAACCTAGGGTCAAGTGGTCAAACTCATGGAGTTTGAGGAGTTTACTATTGAGTATCATCTGGGAAAATTAAATGTGGTAATTATATTTTTTGAGAAATATATTTTAGGCTTTAATTTCTAATATTATTTTTATATACAATTTAATTTTTAAAATAATTATTTATTTACCTTGTCTATGTGCAATATTACTTTTGCTAAATGCTTAAAAATTACAGCTAGATGCTAAATAATTATACCTCATATAATATCATCAAATTATTATAAAGTAATTTGATTTTTCTAAATAAATTTATTTATTTTATCATTGTAGTTAACCAGAGAAAATCTAGCCTTTTTTTAAGAGAGATTAGGAAACTTGTCAAACATAATTTTAATCAACATCTTTCCTCTAAAAGAATGCTCCTTGGCTAAAAAAATTAAACAAACTCTTCAACTAACTTCTAAAATTGTTTGGAATTAAAATATAGAGATTTCTAACAAATTTTAGGGTTGGCAGAATAATGTTGTTCCTCTTTTTCCACTTATAAACTCTCCACTTTGTTGCGGGTTGCACAAGCTTGGGCAGGTCGAGATCTTGTCAGTATCTTCTAAAGCTCCAAAATGTACTTACAGTCACTATACTTTAAGACCACCCATACATTGAGAGCTTTCCAGGCTTCAGAATCTCTGACAATTCCTACATGCATGGAACACTGCCTCCCAAGTCCCTGGTTAGTCTCAGGCTTCAAAGCAACAAGGGACCTACTCAAGCTCATTTTAATGAATGAGTCGAATCTGGACGCTATTGTTTGACCTTTGTAGAGATTGTTTGAGAGCTACCATGTCCTCCACGATTGGGAATCTTTGTAGCTGGGGACGAGGAGGCGGAGGAATGCTATTGGCCATGGTACCAGTGGATATATGGTTTGGCGGGATAAAACTTTCGAAACGTTTTAGTGCACCGAATATACCTACGTGAGGATGAGAAATGGAGAGGGGGAAATGCCTGGAGCTCATCGAGAATTGCAAGGGCCTGGCGATGGCACGGGAGATCCACGCGGGTATTCCAGGTAGCGCGCTCGCCACTGATGTCTATCTCTCGAACAAGCTGATTGAAATGTTTGGGAAATGCGGCGCCGTGGGTGCCGCGCAGGACATCTTCGAGGCGATGGGCAGCGGTGGCAGGGATTTGTTCTCGTGGGAGCTCATGCTCCACGCCTGCTCCAGGAATGGAGTCCTCCGCCAGGCGCAGGGATTGCTCGACCAGATGCCCAATCGGCGTCTCATGTGCTGGAATTCGCTGCTCGGGTCGCTGGCTCGCGATCGGAGGCCCCAAGAGGCGGCTCTTCTCTTCTGCACCATGCCGGAATGGGACCAGCTCTCCCTGAATTCTATTCTCTCGGCGTATGCCCAGAGTGGGCTTCTTGAGAGCTCAAAGCTCTTCTTCGATCGGATGCCCCAGCGCGATGTTGTCTCGTCCAATGCGATGCTTACTGCCTACATCGTCCGCAACCATCTCGAGGAAGCTACCGCATTCTACGATGCTATGCCTGAAAGAACTCTAGTCTCCTCGACTGCTGTTCTTCAGGCGTATGCCCAAGGTGGGCATCTTGAACAAGCAAAGAGAGTGTTTGAGGGGATTCCAGAGATGGATGTCGTGTGCTCAACCGCGATGCTGGCCATATTCTCCGAGAATGGAATCGTGAGCGAGGCAAGAAGGATCTTCCACTCCATGCCACAGAAAAATCTAGTCTGTTGGAATGCGATGCTCTCCGCCTACGCTCAAAACGGCCAAATCTCGGAGGCCAGGAGAACTCTTGAATTTGACATGCCACAGCACAACTTGGTGTCCTGGAACACGATGCTCGACGCTCTCGTGCAGCACGGCAAGCTGGAAGAAGCAAAGAGAGTGTTCGAGACAATGCCGGCGAGAAGCATCATCTCGTCGACGTCGATGGTGGCGGCGTATGCCCTCGAAGGGCATATCGACGAAGCCCAGCAAGTCTTCCACGCCATGCCCGAATGGGACGTGATCTCCTTCAACACCATGATCGCGGGCTTCTCGCAGAACAAGCAGCTCTCGCGTGCCAAGCTCGCCTTCGATACCATGGACGAGAGAAACTCCTCGTCCTGGGACGCCATGCTAGCTGCGTACGCTCAAAACGGGCATGCCGGGGCAGCGGAGATCTTCTTCTCGAGGCTGCCGAGCCTGACAATCTTCTCGTGGAGCGCGCTGCTTGCCGGATATGCGCAGGACGGCAAATCCTCCATGGAAGCTCTCCTCCAGGCCTTCCATTCCGCGAGCCTTGTCATCGACACGCCCGATCCGACTTGCGTGGTCCTGGTGCTCACGGCGTGCAGCCGCACGGGCCAAGTTAGCCTGTGTCGGAGCTGCTTTGCGTCTGCGAGCTTGGATTTCCACCATAGCTCCACCCTGCAACACTATTGCTGCATGGTGGACGTGCTGGGGCGATCGGGGCGTTTGGAGGACGCGGAGGAGCTCGTCAAAGCCATGCCGTTCGTTCCTGATGCTCTAGCATGGACTACGCTACTTGGAGCTTGTAAATACCACAAGGATTTGGAAAGAGGGAGCCGGATTTTGGAGAGCGTGGTTAAACTAGACTACGCCAACGCAGGAGCGTTTGTGACACTGGCCAACATCTTCACTCTGAGGAAGAACGAACGATCAAAAATAGAGCGTTCGCATGCAACTAGGCAGGACTGTAAATGCCTTGCAATAGTTCAGCCTAAGTTAAATTCCTCGCACTTTCGACCAAACTCGGGTTCTTCAGGGCTGCAAATTTCTTGCCTCCTAAAATTCAAAACCGCGGCCCACACCAGGCTCTACAGCCAGCGCCACTATTGTTCTAATTCGCACCACCTCGGAAGAAGAATACAGTGGTAAACACTTCAACGTAAGGGTCAAGTGGAACAATGTTGTTCGCTGTCGATAAGGGAAATCATGATTTTGAGACGGTACAAGTATTATCCTGTTGACAAGATCGACAGGAACACTCGCCACTCTCGTCCCAGAGGCCTGTTGGAAGCTGCCATAGAGGGACCAAGAGTGAGTTGTGCATTGCATCCATGTAGATTCCCGTGCTTCATAGTTGGGCACAAGTGGATTGAAGACAAATCATATGTAAACGTAAAATGGTGAAATGAGGTAAACCAAAATTCTAATACAAGATTACTCCTTTACATTTAGGTAAGGTGAAAAATTTCACTATTTTACTTTACATTCACCCAGTTATAGTTTTATATAGTTTTATATATATATAGCCCAACAAAAACGCATAAAATCCTATTTACATGGATGCAATGAATGATTCCTATCCCTTTGGTCCTTGTTGGAAGCTATGGTTGCACAAATATCACAGGTTGGAT